CCCGCCGCGCTGCAGTGGTCGCCCGCAGCAGCCGCGCGCGCCATCGAGTTTGTGAGCACCCTTGTCGAGCGGGACCCGAAGCTCGGGGCGCTGCTCTCCACTGAGGACCGCAGCGGCAATGGCGTGTACCGGCCGGAGCTCGATGATCCACAGCTTAGCAATCCGTTCGGAACGACGTTCTGGGAGCTGCACCTGCTTGCACACAGCCACTGGCACTCCGAGGTGCGCGAGCGGGCCCGAAAGCTATTGCAAAGTTCGCGCTAGCGCGGCTTCAATTGCTCTGCCGACTTGGCTCGATGTGAAGCGAAGAAAAATTAACAGCTACATTTGTGTTGATGGAGCAACGCCATCATGCCTAGGGCTATATCTACAGCGAAGGATACAGATTCCAAAATACGCACGAGCGATACCTAAAGGATTACAGCTATACGTAGGAGGATGTGTAGTAAGGTCCGTTCAGAAAGCAAAGGGGGTGTCGAAGGGCATAAATAACGGGTTCGCGCGTACGTCAGCGAACAAAAAAAGTTGGGTGAAGATACAGTTTGATCCGTCAATAGTAGTGCGGCACATGTCGCGCCGGGTCGGAGCCGTGCATTGACGGACCACGAGTAAAATCCAAAGCGCAAGCAAGCGGGGCATCCTCGCCGGTGCCTGGCACACGCATGGACGACGGCGGCTGTGGCGCTAAAGGAGCGCTGTACACGGTGGGAAACAAATGCGGTGTGAGTGGTGAGGCGGAGGGTGATGGCTGTGGCTGTGAGGGCGGCGTCTGCCAAGAAACCTTGTGAAACCCAACCAACTCCACACTGGGCGCGCTGGCCGGGTCTGCGGTGCGGTCGAGCGTGTAGCTGGTAACGGCGAGGACCTCCTTGTCGACGACGAACTGCTGCGTGACGGTCTGCACGTCTGGGAAAGAGTACACGTGGTCAGCATGCGGACGACATTGGCCGGCGAGGACGCCAGATGCTGCATACGTACTGGGTTCGAGCCACCTGCACTGGCTGAGCGCTGATTCGGGTAGGCAGGCCATTGGCATGGGAGGCACCATGTCGATGGTATTGGCACTGCTGGAAGGCTGTTGGGCGTTGAATGGCTCAAGCACGCCTACCTCATGCATGACACACAACTTCCCCGCCCACGCCTTTGTGTGGCACTGGGCCGTCGTCCACCGCGATGCGAATGTGACCGCACCATGGACACCCTGCCATGTTTGTAGGCCAAAGTTTTCTCCGGCGGGGAGTTTCACACGGTAGTGCAGCATAATGCGATATGGCTGCGCAGGCTGATTGTACGCGGGGGACACCATCGGCGCCGCCGTCAGCTGGTCGACGTCAACTGTGGAAAGCGGCGTGTCCGCCCAGAGGTCTATGTGGGAAAGCCGATTTGGCGCATGCAAGAACGGAAAATCGGGTGATTCGGGATGCGATGCCTGTGGAAGATTGAACAAGGTAGGCTCCAAGGCAAGCGGTTCCAATTTCACGGCCGACCGCCCACGACCGCGAACGGTCGCGGATGACATTGTAGTACACGTCATATCAGGCAATATAGGGAGGGAAGGCATGGGCATAGAGGCAGGAGGGCTGAACATGGCTGAGGGAGGACGGCTGTTGAGCTGAGGATCGAAGGTAGAGAAGTCAGGCGCAGACGACGAGGCCGAGGAAGACCATGAATTACGCCAGTCCGGATTGTCGAGATTGGCAGAGAACGGTTCTGGGGAATCTGTGCCTGCGGAGCTTTTGGGAGAGGCGAGCAGGCCGTTCTCCTGGAAGAGCTCCTCACCGCCGGCGACGAGGTGGAATTCTGGACGACGCGTGAGCCAGCTGGCGATGGGTATCAGATAAGAGGGCGGGGACGAACCTGGCTCGCCTCTCCACATATTCCTGAGGACCTGGATGTGACTGGCAACCTGTTTCTTGGAGCGTTCGATGCCATGCTTTTTGAGGTGCTCGACGAGAAACTGGTTCCTCCATCGGGAGCGGCCTCTAGAGTAGGTAGCCCAGGGAGACTCCCAGTATTTGTGAAGGCCTTGAATGATTGAAGCGAGTGATGATCAGCTTCTAGGTTGGAGAGGTGTACGTAAAAGTCTCACTGACCGTCAACAAAGATCTTTTCGACGTCTGCCGACCAGACTTCGCTTCCGTCCTTGAGGAGCTTATGGTGCTTCCTCTGGGGCGTTAGAGATTTACGGGAAGGACGAGCGGGGAGGGGGTCCATGGAGGCGTTGGATGCAAGCTGCGGGTCAGAGGAGGAGGAGGAGGAGGAGGAAGTGTATTGATTCAGACTGTAGGGTACCATTAGAAGAGCGAGACAATAGGCCCATGTGAAAAGGGAGGGGCGATATTAGGCAGGTCGAAAGGGCTCTGGGCGGAGACGGGAGATATATATACGGAGGGGCCTTGAGTAGGCCCAAAGGAGGCATGACAGGCTGATAGGACGACCTGGCGAATCTGCAGATGCACGATCCGGCGCTGGACAGAGCCTGCCGAGAAGAGCCCTGATCCGGCTATGGCAGGCGCGACCCAGCCTCCTGGAGTGCACAACCACACGCCGGCGACCGTCCGGGCCTGCCTTTGAGCCTTCCCCATCCGGGCTGTCCCCATTGTCCCCGGCGCCGGTGGCCGATCGTCCTCGCAGCGGAACCAAATGCCACGCGCCCAGTCTGATCGCATCCCCACCCAGTCCGGCATCCCCGGCCCTCCCTCCCGGCTCCCGGGCGGAGTTTCGACTTTTCGCCGCTCCGCCCAATCCGCGCCACCGCCACCGGCCGAGTCTCCGCGTGTCTGGCGCTCACTGGCAGCGACGAGTCGCCCCGCCGCCGCGATGAGCTCGTCCGACTCGCTCACCCTCCGATGGCTGCGCCAGAACATCCAGCCTTATCCCTCTCCCGACATCGTCTTTGCACACGTCGACGCCGTCCTCGCCCGCGTCCCCACCGTCCGCCCCAAGACAGACGTCTACAGTGCGCTCCTCATCGCGCCCATCGCTGTCCACCTGACCCCTCTCCCCCTCTAGCGTATGATGACGGCCGCACACAGCTCCTGCTCTGCCTCCACGGCCTGCTCCCCATCGCCTTTCGCGGTGCCGCGTACAACATCCCCATCGCCATCTGGCTCACCAGAGACTACCCCCGCCTCGCCCCTATTGTCTACGTCGTTCCCACCAGCGACATGCTCGTCCGCCCTGGGCCGGACATGGACCCCAGCGGCAGGTGCCAGATCGAGTACCTGCGCCATTGGGACAAAAAGAGCGAGGTTCGTCTCCTCCGTCCTCCGCCTCCGCCTCCGCCTCCATCTCACTCACACCTCCCCCGTTCCGTGCCCCAGGGCTGCAGTCTAGCCGCCTTGGTCGAGGCAATGCAGCTCGCCTTCTCGCGCACCCCGCCCGTTTATGCGAAGCCCCCCGCTGCCAGCCCCGACTATGCCGCCCGACCTCCCCCGGCCACCTACGCGCCCTCCCCTGCGATCGCCGCCGTTCACAGTCCGGAGCGGCCGCCCCTCCCGGCCAAACCAGCCACTCCGTCCGCCGCCCTGCCGGCAGCGTATGCTCGCGTGCCCACGTCTAGCCGGAGCGGCTCGCCCAATGTGCCCGACGCCGTGCGTCCTTTCTGCTTCCACTCCTCGGCGTCTACTTATTGTCTCTCGGCTTTCTAGGCGCCTCTTGGCATGCGCCCGCCTCCTCCACTCCCTCCTCACCCGCCGATGCTATCGGGTATATCGCCGATTTCCTCTCCACCCGTGCCCCCGACATACACTCCGCGCCCACCCGGTGGTCTGATCGACCCTCCCCGAGCCCTTGCTCCAGCATCCGCTCGGTCTCTCAGCGCCCCGGTCACTGCGGGCCAGCCGTCGTCGTCCCAGCCGTCCCACACGTCCTCCCAATCAGTGTCACCGCCCACTACTTCACCGCCTCCTCTTCCACCCCATCCGTGCTCAGTATCACCGCCTTCGTTGCAGGCAACACAATCGTATTCGCTACCCATCCTGCCCGGAACCCCCCATCTTCACAACGGACAGCTTCCCTCCCGACCCCCTCCCTTCGTTTCCCCTCAACCCGTCCGTGATTTTGAACCGCAGCATGTCCAGGCACCGCTCTCATCAGGGCGTCCTCCGGCATTCACTCACGCTTCCCCCGTACCGTCGTCTGTGCCTCACATTCCACCCCCCGATCTACTCGATGCGGACGAACCTCCACCGCCGCCGGCGTCCACATTCCCGCCGTCATCCGCTCCGGCGCCACCACGGCCACCGAACCCCGAGCTCCTGCAGTTGCACACGCAGGTGCACGCAAAACTGCACTCGGAGCTCGCATCGCTGCAGCAAGCAATGGCGGTCGACGCGGAGCGGCTGCGCGCGCACCAGACAGACCTGCTGTCGGGCGAGCCCGCGATTCGGGACGAGATGGCGCGTCTGGAGGCGGTGCGTGACGTATGCCGCACTGTTGCGGACCGCATGCGCGCCGTCGTAGACGCGGGGGCGCAGAACGTCTCGGAGTTACGCCGAAAGGGCGACCCGGAGGTGGACGAGCTCGTGTGCTCGACGACGATCGTGCATAATCAGTGCGTGTCGCGTGCTTCATTCCGTTCATTTCGGCTGCAATTGTGCCCGCTCATCTTCGCGCCTTTGTGCCCCGTTTATGGCTGTCGATGCTGACATTGTGCACGCGCTGCGCGTTTTTGTTCCTTTGCGGCAGGCTGATTAATCTGGTGGCGGAGGACAACGCCGTCGAAGATACCATATATCACCTGCATCGTGCTCTCAATACCGGAAGAATGGACCTCGAGCGGTTCATCCGGGTGAGTCACCGCTGCTCTTGGCCCATCTTGTGAATCATGCTATTCGGACGTCGTACGCTAATTTCATGTGCAGACGACGCGTGTGCTAGCGGAGGAGCAGTTTATGAAGCGGGCCCTAGTAGAGAAGATCCGGGCGAGGCTGCCGCAGGGGTACCCAGAGATGGGCTGGGCTGGGGCTTCAGAATGGCAATGAGCACGAGACGGTTTTGTTCACCGCTTGGGGCGGTCAATAGCGGGCGGAGACGCAAGCCCGGCATGAACAGAATGACGCATAGAGTACTGGGTTCGAACGGGGTGGGCGAGCGAGTGGCTGAGCGCGTGAGGGCGACGAAACGAGCGAGGCATTGTTTGTGTGGCGCGCCGCAGACGCCAGGGGGAGCGCGGGCGCGTGGGAGGCAGCGCAACCCTCGCGGGTAGGAGCACGCCCCCGATCCGCCTGCTTCGACTTCTTGGGCTGGCACCGCCTGCGCCCATTCCTCGCCTGCACCCTGCTTTCTGCCTTTGCTCGCCCCGCCCGCTCACCCGGCTCGCCCTGCCCAGGCTCTGCTCTGACCACCCTCGGAACAACTCAGCTCTTTGCGCCGTCGCTAGTTTGTCCCCTACGGCGTCCGTCCGCCGGCCAGTAGTCCAGATGTCCCTCAGCTGAGCGTTTGAACCAATTCGAGTCATATGTCACCATCGTAGAAGGTACCGAACACCGAACCGCGTCATAGCAATACTAGTTCCAGCATGGGTCCGCGACCGAGACAGCAATGAAAGACGCGCGTACGCTAATCAGACAGAATAAGATAATACACAATTCACGCTCGATCGTAACTCAAGACGAATGCAAAACGTAAGAGAGAGGCCATAATGAACGCCTCAGGGTCGCTCAGGCAGCGATCCGCAGATTCTCGTCCTTCGCCCCAGACGCAGGCCCGATCGCGCCCGCGCTTCCCACCCACCTCCACACCCTTAGTTCGTCCCCCCCTTTCACCTCTTCGAGATTGGTGCGCACGTTAGCGTTGCTCTCGACCACCCGCTCCACGCGCGTCCACAATCGTTGCCGCACGCGCACCGAATGCTCGTCCTGCAAAATCAGGTCACGCAGCTGCAGAGACGAGAGGTACGGATGTGGCGCCGTGACAGGATCCGTGTGGTGTGCGAGCTCTTGGTTCCGGAGCAGGTCCAGCGCCACTTGAACTAGGGCTGCGACCCGTTCGTTCTCAGCCGTGTTCTGGGCCCTCCGGCGCCTCAGCCCCAATATGCTCAGTATCAACACCGCGCTACCTGTTCAACAATTAGCAAAAAAAATAGACCCGGGGGACGAAACGGGGTCTAGACTTACCAACGACAGAACTCCGCCACTCCTCCCATGCGTCTCGAGCTTTCACTTTGAGGGCGCAGTCCCAGCTCATGGAAGGTGTCCGATGAGCCAAGAAGCGCTTTCCACTAGAACAGCCGCTGTGTTATTGGCACCGACAACATCCGAAGCACACCTGACGTACTCTGCATCTTCGCCCATGAAAACACCACCCCAGTTCAGCAATTGCTGGATGGCTTCATTGAACGTGTCATCCAGCGTTGGCAATAGGTTTGGCTGTGAAAATTCTCAACGATAAGTGATCTAAGCGGTTCATACGCGGAATACTGGATACTTACCGCAGTCTTGCGTCTTAAATCCTCCTTCAGCCGTTCCAGCTCAAGGCCCCATTTCTTAGCTTCAGAAATATCGTCGCCCTCCGGCTCACCCACGCCCACGCCCTCACAAAGTCGACGGCCACGCTCAGAGGCAAGCAGCGCCTCTACAGCTTTGCCTAGGACACCAATGTGACGTCTGCGCCTAGGGTCTTCCACACAACGCGGAGGAAAAGCGACAGGTCCAATGCCCGGGACGCCGTCAAGAACCATCGAAACTGCCGAGTACACAAGTTCTGGGAGATCTGCACTCGGAGAGAGAATGCTCCCGGGACGCGTGAAAGTAGTCAGATATCTCGAGGATGGGGAGGATAGGGGCGCTGTGCCAGGTACGGGCATGAAAGAAAGCAGAGGGTGTGACTTGAGCACATACCCGCTGTCACATGTTACGATATCTGGCACGCATGTTGCATGACGAGGGCACGGTGTACAAGCATCGGCTTGCGGTAGTGGGAGAAGCGGGAGAGGGGGACACAACTCCGCGTCACTCATATATACTGCACCATCTTGGGTACCCGACGACGACTGGGGCGTTGGTGTCGGCTCCGCAAAGGACACTGGCAGAGTGGAATCTGGAGGATACAGTGATGTTCGATTATGCTCGTTGCAACTTTCGATTGCCGCCCTGCGCGCCCTAAGAGCATCAAGGATGACATTGCTCGACTTCCCAGCCTCGCAGAAACCGATTTGCGCAGACTCACGCTTGTGTCCATAGAAAAGGCCTGAACCTCCTAGCGCCAGTAGTACGAGCATGACACGCAATAGCAATGACGCTGGACCCGGACCGGATGGGCGTTCTCGTGAGACGATGCGCCCACCTTCTGATATCCGTTGCGATACAGCAGCAACTTCTTCTTGTAACTCGCCATCCTCGCCATCATCGTCCTCAGCAACCACAGCTTCTTCCTGAATAACGTCTGGAACCTCTAGCGGCTCCAAGGTTGGCCCCGTTATCGATTGGCGGAGAGCTTCCAGTTCCTTCATCTCCATGTCCGAGACCTCCTCCTCCTCCTTCACATCGTCGGGAATAACAATAATCTTCCTCTCGTCCGACAGCTCTGGACCAGGAGTACGGGTGGCTCTCGAGGTCGTTGCCCGGGTTTCTCGCGCGATTCCAGGCGGTAGACGAGGTTCAAATCTACTCGAGGGAGGTTTTATGCTCCGTGCGCGTTCCTTAAGTATCTCCGGCTGCTTTCCCTTCTCCGGAGACGCCTGCTCGTACTGCGGTGGAGCGGACATAGATTTACGAGATTTCACGGGCAATCGGGAGGCGACGCTGGTGCGACGTTGGCGAGTACGGACTGGAGACGGGCGGAGAGGAGAGGACGATTCAGCACCGGACTGGAAAACATTGTTATCTTCCCAACCAGAGTCTTCCGCAAATGCTTGTGAGATACGACGAGCTTGCGTAGCCGCATCTGTTGTCTGTGGAATGCAACGATCATGGTTAGCCGAATGGGACAATAGAATGATCAGGAGTGCGACGTACACTCTTCTTGCTCCGGCTGACTTTACGGATAACAATATCCTCTTCCGGCTCACTCTCTTCAATCACGACAGGTTCAGCAGGTTTCGCGGTCTTCCTCCTAGAGGGACCGCCTAGGGATGGTTGCGCAGAAGACCTACGACGTTTAGACTGAATCGTATTGATTCGACGATGAGACATGACAAGAAATAACACATAACGCATAACATACTGCAGCAGGCTCAAGATCTGGCTCTTGCGCTTGAACAGGTGCTTGTGACGATCTTCTAGATGATCTTCGTACTGGCTGCACATGGAGTTATACAGATGAGCATAGGAGGGGAAGCATCTGCATACCTTCTTGCTCTCACTGATGGGTTTTCCAGTAATACCGTCCTTTATTCCGTCGTCACTGGCCTGGCTATTTTCTCGTTTCAGCCTTTCCTTCTTAAATTTGCCTACTTTTGGCTTTATTTCCTCGTTAAATAGTTGGACAAGCTTAGCCTTCGTGTGTTGAGAGGGGTAGTTGACATTGTGGTATCCAAACACGCCTAGGAGCTGAGGGACCGTGAGAGACGATGGATCGAAGTCAGGATTGAGGTATTCGCCTATGGAAATGATCTGGGCGGCAGTCATACGCGACATGGTGAATAACACGCGTGGACGCCGTACGAGACGGTGAGCGCGAGGTGATCGTTCGTGTTCAGGACGCGTCGCGGATATCTTCCCACGGAGACTCGGTAAACAATGATTACCTAAGCGCTACAGCGACGGGTTGCCGCACGTGTTCCAGGAATTATCTTATCTGATAAACAATATCGCGGATCAGAAAACGGCCTCTTCGCGGAATCCTTCCTGAATCCCTCTTCCCTGCCCAAGACTCTGCTCCCCATGCTGTCGCGTCCGGCTATCGCACAACTTCACTGCGATCTGTCTTCTGGCTTACTGCGATCTGTCTTCCAGCTGCTGCGCAGCCTTATCGCCTGATATTGCAGCGGCAGCCTGGTGTAGAAGACGACGAGTCAAGCCGGCATACGCAAGAGAGCTGGCGCATGATTTTGCTCTTCCGACAGCATATCGTCGATCGGCACCCCTAGGTGCCTATAAAAACTCCTGTGGTAAGCACCCCTGTTTTATAAATTCCCTTCAACTCTGATAAAGTTCTCAAATTTCCCCACTTTCTCGACCACCACTATGGACTCTGCTGAAGACCAGTGGATCCGCTCCGATGTGTATCACAACTCCTTCCTCGTCCCTGACGATGATGCTCTCGCATACGCTCAGAAGGCCAGTGCGGACAACAATCTGCCCGCTATTGCGGTCAGCGTCGCACAGGGAAAATATCTGAACTTGCTCGCTCGGTCTATCGGAGCGAAGAATGTCCTTGAGGTTGGGACTCTTGGAGGGTCAGTGTCTCTTCTGTTGTCATTCTCTCAGTTCCACGCTCCCCAGACTAATCGTCCTTCTAGATACTCCACCATCTGGCTCGCCCGCGCTCTCCCCGAGGACGGAAAGCTTATTTCCCTCGAGCTTTCCCCCAAACACGCTGAAGTGAGTGATCTACTGCCATCCACAAGATCAGTGACTAACTACTTAGGTCGCGCGTGGCAATATTGCGTATGCTGGATTAAATAACAAAGTAGAAATAATAGTCGGACCAGCTGCGGAGTCCATCAAAAAACTCCAGCCCGAGCCACCGTTCGACTTTATTTTCATCGACGCAGACAAGTCCGGAAATTTGACGTACTTCCTCGAGGCTAAGCGCCTTGTCAAGAAAGGCGGTGTCATCGTGCGTATACTTCTGTTATGACTTTTAAATATGCAATATTGACAATGGCCACAGATTGTAGACAACGTCGTCCGTCAAGGCCGCGTTGCTGATTTGTCCTTCTCTGGTCCCTATGTCGACGGCGTTCGCAGGTTCCTTGAGCATTTGAAGACGGACAAGGATGTGGATGCAACCACCATTGCGACCGTTGGAGAGAAAGGCTGGGACGGATTTACTTACATCATTCGTCTCTGAAGATTGTTAGTTGCAGCAAGAGTTGGTAGGAGACGATGGTACGGAGCTGGCCGACAAGCTGTACGGAATTGCGAACGGGGTGCACGGTGAATGTAGGCATATGTGTACTTGATGCGGGTGTTTGTAGACAAATGGCGTTAACATCAAACAGTTGTTGGATTATGTCGAGGCCTGATAGATACCTTCACTTCAATTTGCCCCATCGTCCCGCGCCGTAGAAGAAATAGGATACGATGTCACTTCTTGAGGCTGGAAGCAACTCATCACGATATGTCATGCACATGTATCAAGCAGTTCGTGCTTAGTCTCAACTCATCCGTAACTTGCAGTCATACTAAAATGGCACGTCAGTCAGCAGCCCACATACAACTATTTTCAAAAATGGCGTCAGCCTGATTCTATTTGACCAGCGACTGCCTTAAAAGCAATGTGAGAAGCGAAACCTTTTCCTCGCATGCGAGACTAGTACAGTAGGGAACGGAAAGGGGGTCACAATGTCCGATCGCAAAGAGGATATACGACGAATACAATGTCCATGCACAGTAATCAAGACGCAGTATCAGAGCTAGACGGTGTTCGATAAAATTAGCCTGGCGCCGTCCCTGGAGAACGGGGACTAGGGGTATCGCCTAAGTAAGCAAAAGAGTAAGATGCTTTAAATACTAGGAGATCATCCCTTAGAGGGCTAGGAAGGTTGCAGCGATCGCGGCAACGCCGAGGAGCGCGCCAGACGCCGCAGTCGAACGGGCACCGCTGGTCGGCATCTTTGTCGTCATTGCGCTGGTCGATGACATGCTCATGGATGTCGAGGACGCCCCCATGGACATGGTTGTGCTCGTGGTGTTGCTGCTGAGCACCTGACTGATATCCTCAGGCAGCGTCCAGGAACCGTTGGTCGCGCTCATGTCGATGGATCCGTCGGGCTTCATGACAGAGGGGTTAGCAGCCAAGAAAGCACGCGTGTACCTGTCGCAATGTCAGCGACACTCGACCACAGGAGAACAGGGCACGCACATAATGTTCTCAGCAACGAGGGACTGCGACCACGTGGGCATAGAGCTCATATCCATGGTGTTACCCCACGACGCAGCCATGCTGTTACTGCTGATGTTGCTGGCAGCGTACATGGCAGACAACGTGGAGCTGTTGGCCATCATCGCGGGCATCATGCTTGCAACTGAAGTGTTCGCGTTGTTCCCGACACTGGGAGGGTTGATGATACCGAACATACCCTTCTCGCTGCACACATAACGTCAGATCAGTCATCGGCACACCAGAAGTGACTCACCAGTGAGTGGGGGTGGAGCAGAAGAAGAAGACGGGATCAGTGTTGTTGACAGTCTCCATGAACGTGAAACCTTTGTCGTGTTCGCCGGTCGCGAACGGTGCTTCTGAGGTCTCGTTGCAGATCTCAAGCTCAGAGCCCTTGGTGACGGTGTGGTTGTTCGCATTCCACATATACATGATCCTGTCTCCGACGGACGCATTGACAGTGAAGGGGACGAAGCGTAGGACGCCCTGCGTGGGCGCAACAATGACAGTGTGCGTGGTGCCCGAGCCAGAGCTGGAGCCATACGACAAAGAGTCAGAACCCGAGCTAGAGGACCAAGTGGATGCAGCGGTCATCGTCGGTGCCGGTGCACCAAATGAGGCAACGCATTCTACAACCCTTCTGTCAATTGAATTCCATGCAAGGGAACTTGATACAACTCACGTTGCACGCAGTTTTCATAGCCGGAACCACCCCAGTTGGAGCTGCCGGATCCGTACGACATTGTCGCCATGGTCGGCGCTGCGGTGTAAGTGGCAGAAGACATCCACGTCGCAGTTGCTGAAGAATACCACGTATCGGTAGCGGTAGCTGCTGCGGTCTCTGTAGCGTACGTGGTGTCCCACGAGTCGGAGGATGATCCCCAAGTTGAATCGGCAGTGGCCATAGGAGCACTCGCAGAAGACCATGAGTCTGCCGACGAGGACCAAGATCCGTAGGAATCTGATCCCATCGCATAACCGGTGGCAGTGGGCGCAGCTGACATGGTGTCCCAAGAATCAGACATCATGGCTGCAGGGCTGAGAGAGTAGGCGTTAGCATACACCTATCATCAGTCAAAAAGACAATCAAATCAGACTTACGACATGACGGCAGCGCCCTCCTTGCTCGAGGGGGAAGAAGACCACTGCGGCCGCGGGAGAGCAGACGCATAACCAACGAAAAGAGCAGCAGTGCCGAAAAGAGATGTGAAGGCGACCATTGTAGATGGGCGAAGAGAGCGACAGAAAAGCTAGGATGATACCGTCGAGGTGTGCGTCGTCAAAGCGAGCGAAAGAACACTATGAAGCCTCCCGGAGGAAAAGGTGGTTGAATTCTCTATCAAAGAGGGTGATCTAGAGGATGTATGGAACATATGTTAGATGAGGACGAATGCATCAATGAGATGAGCACCCACCCCGAATGAACGAAGAGTCGAAATCAACTCGACTAAGACGAGAGAAAACAAGAACGAAGGGAACGGAGAGGAAGGGTGTCGACAAGGAAGGGACCGACCCGCTTATATGGGCATGAGGGATCATGGTCCTGTGGCGACGAGTAGAGAAGTCCTGAGCGCCATAGCGACGCGATCGGGAAGACGAAAACACAACGGAGGGAGATGACCAATGACAGAACTCTGGGCAGAGGCGAGTGGGAAAGACGATGGCATCAGCTGGTCGATATCGAATCCTCAACCAACACCAATCCGGAGCCTCCATTCACTCGCAGCCACGCGTGCACACTGCAGCGACGCCATCCGCCTGTTCGTCGCTCCATCGCAACCAGCCGCATCAGAACGAAATGTGCACTCACCGATGCTGGCGACAACCGCTTCCCCGACCACTCGCATGAGCTGCCATCCGACGCATCCCGTCGTCAGTCGCAAAACCTCAGATTTCTGTGAAAACATCCGCGACATGGCAGCAGATCGCGTCCAGCCTCATCGCTGATGGCTCAACCAACCGTTTCTAAACACATTGCAAACACTTTGACCTATAAATATCGCACGCATCTGACAAGGCACAGCTTCCTGTCTTTTGGACGGATGGCATCCAGACAGTCGTCCCAACGGATACGTGATTCAATTGTGCAGGTATCTGGGCCAAAATCCATCCTATCAACCATCGGTGCGAATGAGCAGGCTGACTCCCATTGGGCAGAATTCGACTGAATTGGTCTGATTGACCCATCAGCCACAATGCTCAGTAGCGCAGCAAGTTCGACAACGATTGTAAGTACGTACTGCATAGCTACATGAACACCTGCCATGATAGGCGATATATACACTTGATGGCTAGAATCCGGGTAGATAACGAAGACAGTAGCCCAACCCAATCAGTTCTCTTGGACAAGAGCGCATGCGAGATACTCCATCCGACCCGACCGCATCTAGAAGCCAGGACGAAACCCGACCATCGTCATAACAATGAAAAAAAAATACGACCAACTAGTCCTTGTACATACAACTACTAATGCGACACTGTGCTACAGCGTGAAAATCCTCGAGAACAAAGTATATAGTATAAGCGGCGATAGTTAAACGTTAAACACTCACGCGCGACCTGCACGCTCACAGTGCAGAATATACCCTTCTCGATTAGGACCTCTGGGGTCGCACACTCGATGGTAGTCCAATACGAGATATTGATCCATCCCTGCTGATCTTGGCATGGACCGTAGGCCTCCTACGAGGGATGTTCTCGTCAGTGCGAGTAGGAGAAACGGTCGGCGCTGTACGCGCAGTGCGAGAGGCGTCGGGCGTCGGGGGCCTGAGGAGCATGCGCATCGCAGGCATGGTATCGATGGCATCGTCATCGTCATTATCGTCGGCAAAACGTACTCGAGCGTTCCGCTTCGCAAGTCTTAGTTGTTTCAGACGGTTCATAGCATCACGAGGCGGCACAGTGGAATGTACTGATTGAGCTGACGATCCAGAGGAAGCGCGGGAATGAGCGGGCGCCCAGGCGGACACGGCAACGGCTTTAGAGTTATCACCGTTGCTTCTCGAGGTATCGCGACGATGATGCGGAACCGAAACATCGACCACTTGATGTTGCGCTGTCGGCTCCGACTTGGAGTCCACAGAACTACTAGGTGCGCCGCGTAGTCGAGAAATGACCTCCTGGTCTCGACCTTCGAAGAGCCAGTCTGGTAAATCGTTCGCATCGCGAGCTTTCTCAATGTGATATGCTTTCATTGCGCGAGTCAATCTGGATTCTTCTCCGAACGGCGTGACTGTAATGAATTTTGAGCTTAGTTTTTCACGTCCATTTTAGAAACCGTACCTTCACCAGTTTCCGGTTCCAAACTGGCACCCAGCGCCTTGCTCACGTTCACTCTTAGGTTGTCAGCAACATTCGCGACGCGATTCCACAATACAGAGCGCAGTCCGTTGGGCGACTGGTTCTCTGCTGAGTCAGGGCTCTGCGGGGGCTCAAATCTGCCCTTCTGCCCATCCGCCCCACCCATTTCCAGAAAGCTATCTTCTACGCTTGTGCGAGACGACGAGCGAGAAATAAAAGACCGCAGTGAGCTTTGCGACATAGATGACTCCGACGATGTGGATGATCGCAAGGCGGCGGTACTGTCTGACCTCTTCAGCGGAATAGGAGAGCCGCTGACAGGACTTTTAATGACAGGACTCTTTACACTAGGGGATCTAATGGTAGGGCTCGTGGTGGTGGGAGACCACCTTGTCTGCCAGGCACTGGGGGGTGAAGGGACCGGAGGAGGAGGGGAAGCGGGTCGGACATGTCGTTTGCTGTCGACTGAACGAGACCGTACAGGACTCGAGCGAAGATCAGAGATCGAGCGGGGTTGTCGCAGCTGCTGTAGAGGAGGGGTGGGCGCTGGGCGGAATGGGATGAACTCTTCTGCGGTGCTTGCGGGGCGCGGGAGATCCTCTCGACGTCCATGAACAGAACGCGAGCGTGGAGCTGGACCGGACGGTAGCCCAACGCGGGCACGGGGACGACCTGAGCGTTCCATAAGTTCTCTGTTCATTATTTCTCTGCGCGCAGATAGAGATACAGGAGAGCAGTTGTCAAGGAATGGACAAGGACGTCGGAAGTGCACAGCGCAGCTGGCGAACGGAAACGCAGACACCGCCCAGCAGGTGTTCTGGCGAGAGAAAGAGACGGCGAACGGCTCAGCCGACCTGGGGCTTGAAAACGAAGGTGAGGGAGGGAGGAGATGCGACGCGTCGCAGCGACCTCTCGCCTTTTCTCAGGATCACAGTCGCCCGGCGCTTCTACAACATGGCGTCGCGACAGACACCACCACAAGGTCCACAACACCATGTCAACAGTCGCTTGTGTGGACCAGCCCTCTCGCGCGCTGGGACAAAAAGGACGACGTGTGCTCCCAGGTCGACGCAACATTGGCGGGACCGCGAGGCAGCTCTTCTGCGATCGCACCAAATATCCTGCTCTGACCTGCGTTCGACCGTCGCGGTCCCGGAACACAGTCTCACGACGCAAGTGACAGGCCTGTGCTCTATCACCTATGGCAGTGCTTGTTGTTTGTTGGCCCATCTGGAGTCGGCATATTGACACTGGAAGTACTGAACCTTGGACCGCGGACTGATGCTAGGGACTCGTATCCGACCTTCATGGAAGGCCTTCTGCGTAACTTGTGGCAATTGTCGTTACCTCTGTTCAGACTTCATGCGTTTGTGCCAAGATATCTAGATCGCAGACATGTCCCCTGACGAGCTATCGAGCAATTGGTCAGTGAACCAAGCATCGTTTTAACGCTGTCATCTCTTGACCACAGCCTGTTGTCCTGTCATTTTTACAGGTCGGCCGTTTGAACCGTGACATGAAGGCGTTATCCCTTATGTCTTTTTCGAGAATAATCAAAACATCGAGGCTCAATCTCGGTACAACTTTTGGTTATAATCGACTGTATCAGCTATGTAATTGGCAGTAAAAAGCACCATTCAAGTGGAGTAATAGTCATAATATACATTAACAGGAAAATTACTCTATCTACCGTATGCATTGAAAACGACCGTAATTACCACCTCTCCTTAGGTATTTGGCCACCTGTGAATGCACCAAGTCAGCTTCTCGTGGTCGATAACATCTGCTAGCTTGCTTTATCACCTGGTGAGTCGCAATCCTTCGATGAGATACAAGGAATGAGTCTGAGCATCCCTCTTCGCTTCGATTGGTGCTTAGGTGATTCCGACCGAGGCCTATGTCTTGTATCTGGGTTCGTGGGTCCGACCTCTGGTTGCCATTTCTGACATTGTAATTGCACCGGCTCCTTGTTCAGCAGATTGCGGAGAATATGTTTTGCTGATTCGCTGGTGTTGTCGTGGTGAAGGAGTTGAGCACCGTGTTCAGTGGCCTTGCCATAGTAGCTTGTTCTAATCAAGTCCTGCACCCTCTGCTCTGCTCTGCTCTTTTCCACAAGTTCCCACATATTTGTTACCACAGCCACATTGTACATCGCCTCTTCGCCGCAGATCTGGTGGAAAGAATCGAAACACCGCGTCGTAGTGGTATTGATGCGATTGTCTGAGATTCGATGCATGTAAACGATTCCAACCAAGTCTTTGTTTTCCTTGTACCTGTTGTATCTGGTGAGTACGCGAAATGGCATCTTTTCAATATGTACTCACAGGGTTCTAAGGTATGTGGATATTGCTCTGGTGATTTTAGAGGTGTTATAGTCCCCATCGAGGCCGGGGGTGTCGATCAAGACGACAGGCTGGCCGTCTAACATTACTGTCGTACACTCGACAGTACGTGTGCATGGCTCGAGATTATGACCTTCCGGGAGTTTCGTTCCAGCGAGGATATTGATGAACTAAGTGTTGAATTCGTGATCAGTTTGGGTGTGACCAGTACAGCATTATACCCACTCTTGTTTTGCCGGTGCCAGAAGGACCCATCAGTCTGCGAGCAAGCGTTGTGTTAGCTTCAGTGCTACAGGACACAATGAGGGTAGGACTTACAGAATATACCTAGGTTCGACGAACATGATGTTTTGAGTGCGAGGCGATGCTGAAGAGGCGAGTGTTCTTGTTGTCTGAAGTCTAGCCGTAAAGCTGAAAGAGTATATATACCCGTCGATACCTCCGGCGCGCGGGTGGCAGATTCCATGCAGTCACAATAGTGTACTAGCTGTGGTCTGCACCCTGAGTCGGTGTGGCACAATCCCGAGAACAATACATCGCCCTTAGATCCACAAGATACGAGAATTGTGGACAGCCACAGGTTCTCGTATCGCCTTCTGATGAACCACACAACTCCGGGATCGGTCGGTATTAAGATACGCAAGGATAAGCGCTCATACCGCGGAATTGCCCTTAATATGTCCGGTATCGTCAAGTTCACTCAGTGTTCACTCGCATTTCGTTCAAATTCAGTGTATTATTGGGGCGGGTGCGTCCATATACATTGAACAGAAATTATCACCGTGCGTCCGTATGGGCAAGCATGGTTTAGTCCCGCATCTCAGCTCATATAATTCAGATAAGTCGGTTATTGTGCATGTGCGCATCCTCATTCATGCAGTGTCGGTGGCTCGGGGCACGATGCTTCACAGATAGGCTAGCCCCACAGCCTCGTGTCAGCTGGCGGCGTATCCCCGCAGCCTCGTGTTTTCAACTTACCCGCAGCATTCGCGCAATGTCGTTATGCGACATTTAGTTCCTGTTCTACTGACATTTGAACGTTTGACGCCGCTTGGATATCCTGTACTCGAGTATCAACATGCGGAGTCACGCTGAGGCCTCGTTTTTCGTCTATCGCGGTATGCGCAGCATTGTACGTGACACTGTTCCACAGAATGCAGCCCTATCCAATCGCCAAGAGCGCAAAATATATCCAATATCCGCATACGCGGATATGTGTGGCTCGTCTTGAGCCCCATGGTACTGATGTGGTACGGACGGGCTCGCCTCGGCATGCAGTGCGGATAATGCCGCAGAGACACAACGAGGATCTGGCCCACAGTAAGTTCGCAACAGATGTACGCCGGCATAGATGCCAAGCTAAAGGTTGCGTCACTAGATGCGGACTCTATCCATGCTGTCATGAGACAGCAAGTCTCAAGAAATTGCAGGTCCCACCCAACTGATACCCAGACACCTTATGTCCTAAGATGCTACTGAGAGAGAGGGTAGTTACGTCGAGGAACGGCGCTCCAGCACGTCCGATGAGACTTTGTACGCATTATTCATGAACTGGGCAGTGCCACGGTCGGGACTGTCGGATATACTCCGCGCATGGTGTCATAATAAGGCTCGTGCTTCGTTTTCGCAGTGTCAGCGTGATTGTCATCGTAGATGGAACGAATCTCAACGCAGTCTCTTGGCACGCACGAGTAGTTGGGATATTCTGGACCCTCTAGCGTTTAAGATATCGAGCATCGTGGTGTCTTGATCTTAACGTTATGACTTCCGTGGCTTCCAACAGAAAGGGCACTTTCATTGAAGGACTCGAAGCAGCTTCTGTTCCGACACATATGGATCGCAAGAATACAGCTGCAAGGCATATATGTGCGTCCTCAACTATTATATCCGCCGTAAATTTTTACAGTGCCGTGATACACGTTGGTGGCTAGCTGTTGCCATCTGCCTATTAGGAGAAAACATCCTTTTTCAGAGCGGGGTAGCTTTGGCTTCTTGTGCAACTTCAAGTCTTGGCCTTGCTTTTCGCGCAGGAGGGACCATCGCTTCGAAATGCCAGGATCTCTGAGAATGTTTCAAATCATTTACAGAAAGATATGCCAAGGCGGCCAAAAATAGCCTTTCTTGTCGATGCAAAATCCTAGGAGGTATCTGAACATGGTGTGGTACCCTCATGTTCCACAAGTACTGTCGTTTGTATGTGGTGCTAAGCAATTTAACCCGATACATAGTGAGCAGCTTGCTGCGCTGTATACATATGTATTGAGCGTGTAGATATGAACTTTGTTGACTAGTCATCATGTATATTTCTGTGTGAACCGTAGGTTGTCGACTCGGAGCGCTCGGAATTGAACGCAGACGATCGACCCGAAATCTGAGCAATAAAGATGTCGCGCATGTACGCCAGTAGTGGGATTTGAGTCTGAAGGAGTAAATATCAATGTGACTGACCAGACCAACGTGGACATCGCGTGCTCAACGCGCCTTGATTGCACGACCGACTCTCGGGTTAACGCCCCTGCAATCCATTCGGAATTCAGCGTTAATTCCGATTTTTACTCCACTACTCGACGATGATATTCGGAATTGTTGCTTCGTCATCGCAAGCGTGACTGCACAGTACTTATAGGCCTGGCGACTTTTCCTCACATTTCTCCTCTGCGATACACCGACTGGGCCGCAGCTGTTCTTGCTCATCATGGCTGCTTTTCTCGTTACGCACAGACGTGCTCTCCTCAACTCGCGTTCCTTGGTAACCAGAGTTCGCTGGGGTAGCACCGACAGCAAAGACAAATACAGAATTGTAGTCGTTGGCGCTGGTGCGTCCATGAACATTCTCGCCCACTCATTTGTTCATCGCCAGTGGTGGCTTGCCGGTGACAACAGGCTCTGGTGGATTGTCGGTAGCCAACCAAATATACAACAGGTTTCGGGCTGCCGGTACGCCTCTTAATAAGGATGATATTGCAATCATCGATGCGGCGGAGCACCATTTCTACCAGGTGCGCCCTCTATCGACTCCTCTGAATAGTTTTGTGATCATCTAAGTGTATCTTATAGCCCGGATGGTGAGAGTTGGATGTTTGTTTTACCGACATGTTATTCAGAAAGGTTTGCATTAGGACTCTCGTGGGGGCTGGGTTGAAGCAGAAATCGGAGACTCGCAGGCCCCTCGTATCTCTTATTCCGGACCACCTCGTGCACATTCCGGAGAACGTCAAGTCGTTCTCTCCGTCGTCTGCATCTGTCACTACGGAATCCGGGAGATCGATCTCTTATGAGTCTCTGATCATTGCCACTGGCATGAAGATCAACTGGGAGAACATCCCAGGCCTCCCAAAAGCGCTCGCGGATCCTTCCTCTGGTGTTTCATCAATCTACTCTTATGCCACCTGCGACAAAGTGTGGAGTGACATTGACGCTTTGAGATCTGGGAAGGCTATTTTTACGCAACCTGCAGGCGTGATTAAATGTGCTGGAGGTACATCGCAACTACAATTCTTTGGGCTGCCAACTCAGTGTTCGTATGACAGCCCCCCAGAAAATCATGTGGATGGCGTATGACCGATACCAGAAGACGGGACGTGGCGACCAGATATCGATTGATTTCTACACTGGAATGCCGACCATGTTTAGCGTAAAGAAGTACTCCGACGAGTTGGAGAAGCTCCGAATTGCCCGTGGTGTCGGCGGATTTTTCCAGCACAACCTTGTCAGCATTGATTCTCGAAATCACAAGGCGACATTCAAGAAGCCAGACGGTTCTACAGCTGATGCCGAGTACACCTTGCTGCATGTCTCGCCGCCCATGGGCCCGCTTGATGTGGTCAAGAATTCATCTCTTGCTGATGAGGCAGGTTGGGTATCAGTGGACAAGATGACAATGCGACATACCAAGCCCGAGTACGGCAACGTTTGGGCAATTGGTGACTGCTCAAGTTTACCAACGAGCAAGACTGCAGCTGCTATCACCGCGCAGGCTCCCATTTTGACAGAGAACCTATTCTCTGTGATCACCACTGGCAAGGTTGCAGATGCCAATTATGATGGATACACCAGTTGTCCAGTAGGTTTTTGACATACCTCCGCCGTCATATATTGATCTTGCATATACTAGCTATTGACTGGATATGGTCAATTGATGCTGGCTGAATTCAAATACGGCCTGGAGCCGAAAGAGTCCCTTGCAAACTATTTCGGCGATCAGTCGACACCACGGAGGTACGCATTCTTAGCATGTTTTTCTGACGCGATTGATCCAGATTTGCGCGCAGGATATTCTACCACCTCAAAAAAGATCTCTTCCCTTGGGCATATTGGAATTATCATGTAAGATTGGATTATCTGAGACCACGATGATATGCTTATGGTCACGCAGATCAAAGGTACTTGGTTCGGCTCACATGGCTGGTTGCGTCCCAAGTTCCCCTCTAGCACCCCTTGAGAGGGAGTTTCTCCTGGGGCGTCTGCGTGCAACTGAGTGAGAAAGTGAACGTGGTTTTTACGGAGCTGTGGTGCCTCTTTCCTCAACAACTGCGCTCAAAATGGCTCTGATAGGCATACGATGAATATAACAGTATTTATCCTTCAATAAAATTAAGCGGATATCCTTGTGTTCGGAACTACACACGTTGGCAACTTTGGTTCTTGGACTACCCTTCTCATTCAAAATTCGATGACTGGTTTAGGTATAGTCACTGATAGGATGGGCAACGAACAGCGTTAAAACCCGAAAATGTCGTCAATGTCATCCTTCCTCTTCTTCTTGGCTTTGATGCTCTTCTTCGAAGTTTCCACTTGCTTCCGCTTTGCTGAGGTAGCTATACGACTACTGTCACTAGAAATCTTGTCCGGATTGCGCGAAATTGTGATACGTCTCGGGGTGACTATTGGTATACTTGTCAAATAAGGACGAGATATTAAATTACGACCAACCCACCAACTGTAGTTGCCGAGGCCATGTCAAATGCGTCCATCTGTGCATCATCACGAACAAGCTCAAGTGAGGATGAAATCGCGTCGATTGGGTGATCGACAGACTGATCTCTTGCAGCTACATCCATTTCAGGATTTGAACGTCTCAGTACACTACCCAAATCTTCGGTAACGAGATCGTCTGACATCGCGATCTCCGCGGAAGGCGTTGATGACTGGGTTCTCAACGGGATTTCCCGCGCAGTATGTGGACCATAACCCTTTGGATGCTGAATCTTGCCTGCTTCAGTGAGCTTCAAAATCATCAAGAGTTTTCTGTCTTCTAAAATGCGGAGCACTTACGCTGAGACTCTGGAGCAACTTGTGACAAGCATTCCCGGCCTGCTCAGTAGCGGCACGTATTTCAGTAAGTAATATTCGCAGACGAGAAGCAATGGCGGCGAGTGTCAGAATAAGCTGCAAAAAGGCAGCTGTTTGCATCAGAAGGGTAAAATTGCTTCAGACGAATCGCTCAGCATGCAGAGAGGAAGTTCTTTAATGTACATACCTATACGCAGCGGACAAACGTTCTTGTATCTACTGTGCCATCAGCCAAAGGATACGTGTAAACATGGGTAGGTCTCACCTTATCTATCAGGCTACAGCATTCATAACAACGCTGCACGACGAAACGCACCGATTTGGCGTCAGGGAAATAGCACCAAGGGCCTTTCAAAGCCTTTGGGCTAGATAGATGTTAACTGGATGAATTCCGCGTTGAGAAACATAGCGCTCACTTCTGCTGGGCGAGGTCACCCCAAAACGCGCACCTTAGACGGTCGACGAGATCGAACATGGCCATTCCCTCCAGTCTGTCTCCATAACGTCTCATTTCGACCACTCTCCGCCAAAAGATTGCGGTGCGGTGCTGGTTTTTGCCCTTATAATACAATCTCTCGAGGACCTGTAGCTCACCCCGGTGGGAAGCGAAAGCTGCCTCCAGACGCCGTGTGCATAGCTTGAGCTGTTTTAGTGTCGAGTCGACGCTGGGGTGTGTAGCGGACGGCAGTGAGGACCTGAGCGCGAAGGATAGAGGGGGAGGGTCGGCGAAGCGGCGAGGGACCATGATCATACGAGTAGCGGTCGTCGCGAGACGGATCGCGCTGCCGGCGCTTGCTCGAAATGCGGTAGCGACCATAGGCGATCACTCTGTCTGACTTACGCCTAACTCTTACGCTCTACTAGTCGTCGTTCTACTTGGTATTACGCCCTGCTTCAAATCTGAGGACCGCTTGAAGGAAGCTGCAGTTCATTCTGAGGCGTTCATCATCCAACCTCACGAAGACACAACGACCGTGACCATATTGTCTGATCGGTGATTCACCATGAGTGGACAGGGAGCTCAAGATGCAAAGTTCTTTCAGCGGGGAAAGATACAGGTATGTCGTATTGCGGTGTAAGGGTACTCACACCGTCATTGACTGCATAATAAAATCTTAGGAATTCCGCGCCGAGCTGCAGGCAGCGGAGACTAAGGACAAGAAGTTTACGAAACGCAAGACTGTTCTCAAAAAGATAGTCGCGAACATCACCATGGGTAATGATAGTACGTTTGACCTCTTGCCAGAGATATATTCCGCGACTGATTACTCTATTGACACCAGTGTCATCTTTGTTCGGTGATGTCATCCAATGCCTCAGTATTCCATCACTTGAAATCAAGAAGAGTGAGCAACACTGTTTGCATCATAAGTAATTGCTCACAACCCTGAGCAGTGGTCTACCTATTTCTTGTATGCTATGGTCGAACCAAGGCAGATCAAATACGACATGTTATACCTAGTTTCTTACAGGTGAATACACTATTCTCGCTGCATTGGGAATACGGCTGAAGCAGTCTAGGACTGCGAAGATCGGAATCCACTGATTCGGGCTCTAGCCATACGTACCATGTCTTACATCCCTGCACCGATAGCAGTCGAGGAACTAGAAGACCCCCTACGCAATTGCTTGAAGGATCAAGACCCCTATGTGCGTAAGACAGCAGCCATATGTGTTGCAAAAATGTACACGTCGGATCCACGTAAAGCCGAGAGAGGTGGCTTCGTGGAGCTATTACGCGATCTACTGTTGGACACCAATGCGACTGTTGTGGCCAACGCCGTAGCTGCACTGTCTGAAATTGGAGATCGACAAGATGGTGTTATCTTTAAGCTAAATCTGACTGTTGCCAACAAGCTCCTCGCAGCGCTGGGTGAGAGTTCGGAGTAGGTATTGTGAAGTTCGAGCTAGTGTCCGCATACTAACTCTAGTGCGTTGTAGATGGGGGCAAATCTATATACTGGATTCATTACTACGATATGTTCCCGAGAAGCACGAAGATGCTGAGCTTATGGCAGAGCGTGTTATTATAGAACTCCAACACGCGAATTCCGCGGTCGTGCTAACCGCCATCAAAGTCTTGCTTTACCTGATGAACTACATGCAGAATCGCCAACTAATGGACTATATCTGCAAGAAGATGGGCCCCCCCTTAGGTGCGTTCAAGCTAACGTATCTGTCATGCGACGATTTAACTGTCGATGTAGTAACACTACTATCATCTGGGCCTGAAGTCCAATATGTCGCATTGCGGAATATTCTGCTCATTATCCAGCGACGACCACAAGTTCTCAAGAATGACGTCAAGGTATTCTTCTGCAAGTACAACGATCCAATATATGTCAAGCTTGCCAAATTGGAAATTATGTATCGCCTTGCACGGGATGAGAACGCACGGGAAGTATTAGCAGAGCTGCAAGAGTGCGTTCGTCGTTATTCGGCTATATAATTCCCCCTGACCCTTTGCCGTAGATATGCTTCGGAAGTGGACATCGATTTCGTGCGGAAAGGGGTGCGCTCGATTGGGCGACTTGCAATCAAAGTCTCGTCCGCTGCAGATGACTGTATTAAAGCTCTCCTTGAGCTGATTGAGACCAAGGTGACATATGTAGTCCAAGAGGCCGTAATCGTCATCAAAGACGTCTTCCGAAGGTATCCTGGCAAATACGAAGGCATTATTCCTACTCTGTGTCAAAACCTGGATGCTTTAGATGAGCCTGAATCAAAGGCAGCGATGATTTGGATTGTCGGCCAATACGCGAACAGGATAGAGAACGCGGACGAGCTTATGGATGATCTAACGTACAATTTCCTGGAGGAGCCCACAGAAGTGGGTGTTTATATTGCGCGCGCGAACATCGTTCTCATAAACTCTCCTTCAAGGTGCAACTGGCTCTTCTATCCGCCGCAGTGAAGTTGTTCATCTACAAAGCACAGTCGGAAACAAGCAAAGCTCTCGTCCACAAGATATTGAAGTGGGCCACGGAGGAAGTGGATAATCCAGATCTTCGAGATCGTGGATTCATGTACTGGCGCCTGCTCGCAATCAACCCGACTGTTGCAGGGGAGATAGTCCTTGCAGAGAAGCCTGCCATCACGACAGACGCTGATCGGATGGATCGGGGTGCTCTGGACCAGCTTCTGTTGCACACAGGAACGCTAGGTAGCATATACCACAAGAACCCGGAGGCCAGTATTTTTTTCATAATGATCAAAATTTACCCAATCACTGAATGAAATATTCTAGACTTTCATTCGAAACGCTACGGGCAAAGCGCTGACTGATAGCCCAGCACTGAACCCGTTATCACGACAAGTGCTCGTTCCAGTGACGCGAGTAGCGTTGCCTCCAAATACTATTCGCATTCCTAGTGTGGGCATCCCCTACACGAGTAATGTTCCAGCACCAACGCCACAGACGAATGGCACAAGCGCGTCGTCACCGCCTGTAATATCAGCATCCACTGATCTGCTGAGCATGTCTCAATCACAGGATGCCGGTGACGATGGGGATGCAGACGAATATATCCCCGCACCACTACAAGCGGTATCATCAGACGACCCATATGCGAACCTGGACAATGCATTCGGAGGCTACATGACTGACGAGCCGCGACCACAGCAGGGCGGTCTGCTGTTCTAATTCTGAGGGAGACAAATGGGATTTGTATCATCATGCGGTTACTTCCATTAGTAATATTGGACTTTGCGATGGCTATGATATATGTATATAACGCTGATATATGTTTCCTAACGAGATACAGCGATGATTAGTGCGTACATTATTTCACATGCGATGGATCTGGACAGTGGTCCCCAAATGGACTGGTACAAAGTGCCTTCACGACTGGCCGGTAAAGACAGATTTGAGAGTGCTTGATAGTGAGTGTTTAGGTCGTAGTGAATTGTAATGCTTAGATTGGATCGTGACTGGTCACAATAGGTTCGCAAGAAGCGCACATATCGAGACTCACCTCGCCCAATCCGTACATCCGCCGATGATAGCTAATGCGTACAACATTCTTATCCGCAGCGTCGCTCTTGCGAGAAGAGCCTATTGGTTGGTGTATGACGATAGGCGGTGTACCGCCTTGCACGACATGAATCGGCACGCCGAATGCACTACTCAGTGCAAGGATCTCTGGCTCACCGCCCCATGCGCCGGTGTCACGCATTGTGGCGCAGTAGCGGTCGAGCTCGGCACGGCTCATTAAGCCCGTGGACGATGTCGCGCCGATGGTATCTTCGCCTCCGACAGCGGGAAGAAAGGGAAGAAAGTCGTCGGGATGACTGTGGATGTAGTCGGCGGCAGCGTGCCGGCAAACCGCATAGGTCGCCTGGGCAGGTAGGAGACGGCCGAGAAGTGCGAGCTGATCTGCAACAGCGGAAAAAAGGCAATGGCCGTCTGGATTGATCTGAGGTTATGGATTAGCCGGCTGAAGCACAGCACGTACGCACACGCACCTCGTGCATCTCGAGGTTGAGATCGTCGCAGATATGCCTGATTGTCCGCTCCTCGTCCTCGGCCTCCTTCTTTAAACGTGCCTCCGCAATCGGGTCTGAAGGTACTAATTGCTCCGCAAGTGCGGCGGCTTTTCTCGCCTTGGAGAGGATGAGTCGGCGTACGTCTCCTGGCAGCCAGACACGCACCTGTCTTGCCTTGTGCCGTGCCTTGCTGTCCTGCTTTGCGGATGCAGGTGGAGGCGTGTCAGCCGCTTTGTTGATAGTCATTTCGTTCAGGACGGTGGCAGACTCGGCCTGCACGGTGTGGTCCTTGGAGTCAAGCTGAGCCATGAGATCATCCATGAGGTCGTCGTCGTCCATGCTCGATTCTGGCGGAGAGTTGAAGAACGGCGGTGACAGTGCTTTCTTTATTTTGTTGCGCTTTGAGCCAGCCATTTGTATGTGCGGACAGTGCAGGAGTTTGCAGTTTGCAGCCTGCCAAGGGGTTGCTTACACTTATGGTGTTGTCGATTGGAGTAGTGCACCGGATGCCGGAAATGGCAGGTGGAACCCCCAATATGGAAGGTGTCGTGGGTTTACGTCGTTCACGTGCAAGACGCGATCGGGCCGACGGGCGGCCGCGTTAAGAGAGCCTCCACTGAGACTCGGACTCTTATCCGCTCTCACCATCGCTCAGCCATCTTCACCCCAGCGACACATCTCCAGACCGTCTACGCCCAGCATGCCTGCCCGTGTTCCGCTCATTTTTGTATGCCCTCAGTGACTTGATTGCCAAGCGCGGGTCGGCTAACAGACATTTTAATGTTGCACCATGCAGGGCACAATGACCTTTGGTGAGGCCGAAAAGAACGGCGTGCGCACCTCGGATTTGAGCGACTGCCAGGAAATCGTCGATCTTTTTGTCAAATACGGACACAAGGAACTTGACACTGCGCGCATGTACGCCGAAGGTACAACAGAGCCTGTTCGTAGCTTTATCATCGTGCGGATGCATCATGGATCTCAATAAGCGCACTCCACTCCACCGTTTTAGCTTCTGGCTAAGCTCAAGTTGCCTCAAGATGTTACAGTGGATACAAAGTGAGCGATCTCCACACAATGGAGATACACTCCTTCGGGCACACATGTTATGGACTAATGCAACTAATTCTACAGGGTGTATCCGGTCAAACCGGGAGACCATGCACCCGCAGCTCTCCGAGCGACCTTCCAGACCTCTCTCAAACTTCTTGCTCCCCTGAAGGTCCGCGTGCTCTATCTCCATGCCCCAGATCGCAGTGTCCCCTTCGAAGAGACCCTTCGTGAGGTCAATGAACTCTATAAAGAGGGCCTTTTGTATGTATCACGCACCGTGCTGTTTTGATTCCGATGTATAAATGATGATAACGCGTCCACAGTCAGACGCTCGGTTTAAGCAATTATGCCTCCTGGGAGGTCAGTCATGGCTACTTTCATGTTTCCTAGCTCTTCACATATAAGGCTCTGATTATATACTATAGGTGGCCGAGATTGTCGGCATATGTAGGGCGAAGGGTTGGGTCCAGCCCAAAATTTACCAAGCGTAAGCTCAGCCGGCCAGCCGATCCACTATGTGTTGTTTTATTCACAACCAAAACCTAGGATGTACAATGCTATCACGCGCGAGATGGAGGTGGAGCTGGTACCATGCTGCCGCAAATTCGGTCTCCGCATTGTGATTTATAACCCACTTGCGTGCGTAATCTCATTATCTCTTGATGTGAAGTTGCTAATATTGGCATACGCGATGGGTTTAATCAGCGGCGGATTTTTTGCGGGAAAGGTCTCCGCCCCCGACGCAGAGGCACCGAAAGGTGGACGCTTCGATCCGAGCAGCAAGATGGGCACGATGTACCGAGCGCGTTATCTCAAAGGTGGATACTTTGAAGCCCTCAATCATCTCAAGCCTATCGCGGTACGTGTTCATTGTAAAACCCCTGGCCAACCGAGCTCATAAAGCGAAACGATATCGTGTAGGAGAAGCATCAGCTGCGTCTGACGGAGATCGCCCTCCGTTGGTGCCAGCACCACTCGGCGCTGACATCAGAGGACGGTGTTATTCTGGGCGCGAGCAGTGTCGCACAATTGGAGCAGAATCTAGAAGACTCACAAAAGGGGCCGCTTCCTGAAGAGGTAGTGAAGGCGCTGGATGAGGCACAGGCGATCGTTGGAGCGCAAGCACCGACCTACTGGCGTTGAAAATGATGCAATGCCAAGACTGAGATTATGGATGTATCCTCCAGTGGATGTGAGTCAATATTGTGGTTAAGAAGTACCATCATTGCTGTTGTATCACAAGGTGTATTGAGGTTGTCCGTACCAAATATTAAGACCAATTCACGGTATGAAGCATACACTGCGTCCTCTCTGCAGGAACCCTCATGCAAATAATCAACGACGACCCATTCAGTGGTTAAACATCTGGTAAGAGATTGAGATATACGCTCACGGTCTCGAAGGAGAATCTGTCTGGGCACGTTTGCCAGGAGTTGAAGACTGGAACCTTTGAACAGTGATAATGATATAACATACTGTCAAACTTCGGACGTAACCAGTCTTGAATGTGATGCGTATCAGTAATCTGGTATTTTCGGGTCGCAGCTTCAGCATTACTGGGATTGCTCCTGCGCTACGCTCTGTAGATAATTTGAAATATGATACTTGATCGCTTATTTTCGCGAGCTGTGAGTCGCGCGTGCGTATTCTGCACGAGCAATTGTTCTCGTCCCAAGTCTGCATTGGCACCCTTCACTATAATCGTCGAAGTTCGCCCCGACAATCACGGTATATTCAGAAGCGCTTTTGTACATCGCGTACGAGCAGAAGAATTATATAGTAATACAGACAGCTCGCGACACGTAGATTCCCAGAGCATTGATAGGCGCAGATACCAAAGAACCTCATGACAGAAAACAAAACAGATGGACGAAAACATAGCGCGAATAACGAGTGGGTATTCCGTGAGGATGAATAAAATGTGGTATCATATAGGTGTGTCGACACTAGTAGGCGACTCGGGATTCAGAGAAGCGACACCGCTGATCGTCTCAACTGAGTCCTCTAAGGCATGCATGTCAGCGAACAATCACCTGAAGGAACAGGTACGTCCTTACCCATGAACGGTAAGGTGGTGCCTAATTTGTGCGCCGAGTTCATGATAACGCAGAAAGACGACCTCCACTGTGATTCATCCAAGAGGGATACGCGCTCTTGATTAAGCACAGTAGCCACCATGGACCAACACGTCTACGGAGGTCAGATCAGTACGTCAGAGGAAAAATTATCCATATGCATACGTACCCCAAGGATTGGGTCGAGAAAGATATAATCTTCATCGGTCAATCCTTTGGTGATCTACCATCACACATCAGTGCTGCGTCGTGGCGTATGAAACGCACGTGTGGAGGTTGATTTACGTACGCCGACAATCTCGAACACAATGTCGACACATCTATGTCGCGATTCGGTGTGATGATTCGCCAGCAATCGGTGCAGTTCCGCCGAGGCAGTAAGGGATATTATCATGCACATTTTCAGCGTAAGGGCATATTCACGCTGGCGGAAGAAACTTGTTTTCAACATGGCTGGGTTCAAGGTAGCGAGGTGCTCTGATATCTCTTCTAGGAGCTCCCAGTAGTCGTCATACCATTGAGTCTGCGCATTCGGCATGGAGGAATACTGAGGAGTGCCTATGTTCAGGACAATCTCCGTCCACCGGGCAGACATGCGGCGGGTATGGTGCAGCAAGGCAATACTCTTTGCACGTAGGACGACTAGGTTATTTTTGAAAATAGAAGGGAACATATACTGTATAAATGCTTGACATGAGCAAAACCGCACCAGTAGCAGAATTGAACAGATTTACTTGAAGATATCTAAACTGTTGCTCATACTCAGCGCCCAATAGCGATGGATCGTTGAGAACAATTGAAGCGGCTTTGTCAAGATAGAGCAACTGGCTCAAAGCACAGATGTGCTCCTGTGCTTCGTCGCTTATAGCTTGAAATGGCTCTAGAGTCTCCGAAGGGTGCTTATCGAAACGCATGTTATAATCTACGGCAACTTGAGTGGCTTTCAAAAGCTGGTCTCTCCCTTCATGCATTTTGCGTTTGATGAGGAAAAAAATGGCAAGCACCGTGTGAACTTGGAGCATTGTGATGGGGTCTTGGACAGTGGAAAGTGCTTGGTTCACATACTGCAATTGCACGTCTTCAACATTGCCGCTCAAAAAGATCCGTTGTTGTTCTTGCCACAAGCGACATCCCATCAATTGGGCAAGGAAAACTAAGACGGGATGTGCAGACGCCCCTGACATATCCGCGTTCATGATGGCTTGCATCTTGGCAGCTGGAAAGCTAATACCCAATTGTCCGTGATGACAGAGGAAGGTCGCACGGCTAGAGCTCACGTTCAGGATGATATTGGACGCCAAGAAAACTAGAAACCTCACTATTGGCTCAATTCCTGTACATTCGCAGACCTCGAAGCGTACTCCGCCGCCGTAAGAGCCGTGCTAGGATCGCTGATGGCTGATTGCATTTCGTTTACAAATAGTAGTTGAGATGGCCTTGAGGCAGGTGAGATTCCATCAAGGGGGCTGATGTTCATCATAGGAATCGAGACTTCGCTAGGGATAAAGGGTGCAAGGGGCGATAGACGTGAAGAATTGGTTGATAGAAATTCACTGATCCCAGCCGTGAATAACGATGGTGCATGATCTGAGTAAAATGGTTAGTTTATGTGCGTACACGAATTTGTTCCAACTACCTGATTGAGCCATCCCAACCGAAGTATTCATGACCTCTTTATAGGCTGCAACTTCATCCTCGAGTGCGCGGTTACGGGCAATAAGGGCCTCTGTGATGTTACGTTGGACGTTTTCCTCATACTGACATTCGTGTTGCTTCCCGGCGATCTCGCAGGTGGAACAGTAAGGCCGTCTAGCATCGCATTTCTAAGATCCCAACGTGAGCAGATAGATAGTGATCAAGCCCAAGCTTACAAACCTTTTTCTTCTTCCTGTAGACGACAGTGTTAGACGGTCCTGTAGATTTTATCATGTGCAGGACTGCAATCTCACCTACAGGGATAGCAAGCAGTTCCCTTTTGCAACAAAGGGCCCTTGGGTACTTGCGACGCAGGACTGCTGACGTATGTGCAGTCTACTGGTCTACGGGCCTTCGAACAGGGCCCACAGATTGGAGACTCTCCGTCACACCGCTGGCCCTAGGCATCAGACCAAGCGAGATCAACGTAGTAACAATGCTCACCACTTTCCGGCTCCTGAAAGGGAGTCAACTTCGCATCGATTCATTACCAAAGAGAAAAGGCCGAAGTGTAGACTTACCTACATGCAGTACACGTTTTGCTCATGAGGAAGTCAAGACGGGGTTGAGGGCGCTGTCGATAGCACACACACGCATTACCCGTCAGACTCGCAGTCAATCGTCCACTTCGCCAATCTCACGCGGAGATCGTCTGAGTTTGAATACAGTCTCGATCACGTGCTTCCAACGCGACCTCAACGTTGCGCCTGGCCCGGAGTCCTTCGTCTCCCGCGACGCGCTTTCTAGGATTCCCTCAACTTCTTTTGGCGACCTCTCGCTTCAGCCTCCCTTGGTAGTCATGTCCAGCGACGTGTTAATTGATTATGGAACCACCATACAGTCTCCGGTCTCAAATGCTAGCGATGATTCCGATGTTGTCAATACCGAGACCGCGAGGGTCTACTTCGGACCTCTCCAATCACCAGAGAAGAAATTTGCATCCGTCCGAATGCGCACACCATTACGCAGATCTACCAGGCTGTCATCAGTTATTCCTAGGCAGGGAAGCCGGAGAGATAGTACTCCTCAAGAATCTTCTCGGCTTAACATAGACGATGCTGGATTTGGTTCATCAAGGACCACGCCTCTCGCTGAGCATGCGTTCCTTCCCGACGGTAAGTGTTGATAGCACAAACATCTGAGACATTGATGTAAAAAGTGGAAGCTAGAGCCATCATTTGTTCTGGCTAGCAAGGTTCTCTGCGCTTATGATAATCCGTCACCTCCTCCAAGCCCTCCTCCCGAAGAGCATCCTGATCCATCTTCCTTGACTAATGCACCGCTTTCTCATATCGAGGAGTCGGACTGCCTTCCTCCTTATGGGTTTCCGGCGGAACCCCTTGAATCGTCCGCGAACTTAGATGCAAATAACTCCCTGCCCGATTTGATCAACTTTGATTCCTTTTCGACACCCTCCATGACTTCCCTTATCCATGTACCAAGCCAAAGTCCACGTATCATTTCATCTCCAGTACGGAACCTTGCGGTCGATACCGTTGATGACTTGCTATCTATTTCTCCTCAACCTAGCCATGTATTGCCTGGGGACTTTATTGAGCCTCCTGTTCTTTCCGCAGATGATCTGACTCCTTCAGTGGATGAAGAAGAGCGAGTACTGCAGGAGCTAGTTCGCGAAGAACTTATAGTCGATTGCAGTTCCGGGCCAGAGAGCGCAGAACTCGAACCGCAGACATGTCGCAGATCGGCTCATCTCCAAAGAAGCACCAGCCCCTTCGGACCAAATACATTTGTCAATGATGATGTGGACCGACTCGATTTCCCGACAAATTCGTTACAAAGGGTCAGATCCAGAGATGACCCGGCTTCCACTGACCGAGAGGTAAAGAAGAGTAGTGAAGACCGAGCTCCTAGTGATGATTTAGTTCATGAGGACGCAAATTTTATCCAGATTTCAAGTCGTGCCGCCAGCGTGGAACAAGAGGGTAGGAGAGTGCAGTCCTACAAGACTCGCCGGGAGCTAGGTTCGCTGTCACCTGCGTCAGCGCAGCTACTTATGCACTTAATCCCAACAACGTCAGACTCCCGGAAACATTCCTTCGATGGCTGCAATGAACAGGAACGTCCAAATTCAACGTCCATGGATAGGAATATTAACACCACTATGCAGGGGGAAGCTATCCATTCCGCTTTCGTAACGCCATCATCACCAACGAGACCTGCGGACTCCATTCGTTCCCCGGCTCGTCGCATACCCATTGCACAAGCCATAGCGGAGGGTACATTTTCGCCAAATAAATCTCTGAAGGCAGCCAAAGCAGGAATGTCGACCGACACCGTTGGTACTAGTTTCGGGATTGGGCCTTTAGGTTCCCCTGTCTTCAGAAAATCTGCGTTGGATGACCCACAAAGGAGTCCTGCCAAACGAGTTCCCGTCGCCGTGGCCCGAAGCGTAGGTTCCGTTCACTCATTCGACAAGGGAAAGTCTCCCGTTCGCCCAAACGCTCTCCGTGCGACAAGGGAGGGAGAACGAAATCTTACTCGAGATCTTCAATATCCCGCGTCGAGACGAGGGCGTAGTGGCTCTGCTGAACCGTCGACTCCTTCAGATTCGCTTTTGTCTGCGAGCACAGTAGGCAAATTTTTCCCGCAACCATCCTCTTCCAACGTGAACTTGGGATCAGGAAGCGGACCACCTAGTACTACTGTTGGAATTGACAATCCGCACGCGGCACTTCGATTCCGTAAAAGCACAACACCAAATCGATTCCTGTCATCTGTACCTGAGCTAGAGGGGGGAGAACAAAACCGACAATCATCTCCCACACACATTCACCCGGTATCCACTTTCAGGCCAGCAGGAACCGACCAGAATCCGAAACAGACGTTAGCTGGTTCGAATAGCAAGATTCCACGAATAGGTGTAAAGGCTCAAGGGATGCCCGATGTTGCACCAAGGGAATCAAAGCCAATGTTCGCACGACGCGCCATAGGTACAGCCCCTAGTGCTATAGTAAGTAACCTGCCTTCTGCGATCTAAGCGATTTCCTTATAGTCTGGCTGTATTCAGACTCGTCCTTTTAGGTCTATCAAACTAGGCGACCACAACTCAGATGAAAATACACCAAAGTCTGACAGTTCGACTACGGCTGGAAGTACTGTTAATCATCTCGGTGTGGTGCCACTTAACGCAGATGATTCGGAAGTCAAGTCCTTGAAACGGAAGCGAGACATGGAGCCCTCCCAGACATCAACCACAAGTGCTCATCCGGCTATTGTCGCTGGCAGAGTGGTGAAAGGTAGCCAGCCCCTCCAGGCAGCAGTGGAATCAACGCTGGGAGACTCATATCATAAGACATCAGGTCAAAAAAAGGCCCCAGGTCTCGTTATGATGCGCCGGGTAGCGGACTGGAAGAGACCTCCATCTCAATCATCAAAGCCATCCGTGAGAGATGTCATGGGTGTTTCGCCTGCGAGTACTGAGCAACCAGAGGCACCGGTTGTCTCAAACCCATCTGAGAGAGAGGATGATATGCCCATGTCACCTCCAATCACTCGTATTTCGGAGTCTTCTGAGGAGTCGCGGCCCGCGAGTTCATCTCCCACTAGGTCATCAGCCCACATCGATGCCCAGTCGGATGGTGCACGTCGCTCTACTCGTTCTCGTCGACAGACTCCTGAAGCAATCGCCGATATTTTCGGGACAACGGCTGCAACTCGGCCTCCCAAGACACGCCGCAAACTCATCCTACACACTGATTCTAGCATATTTTCTGGAATGACGGCCTTGGCTTTGAAGGCGCTTACATCATCTAATACTACCAAGAATCAACACCATGTCGTGGAGATCAAGAGAGAAGTGATTCGCAAGGAGGGAAAAAGACCAGACAGTCCTACTACAAAGGTGCGGACGGCTCTTGAGCGACAACGAGAACTGAAGGCCCAGCAACGGAAGGAGCGCGCTGATAGAAGAGCCAGACGGACATCTGGGGCTGACGGTGAAGAAGAGAATGAGATCGATGCTTCCAATGATATGATGGATGCAGCCATGGACAGTATTGATGTGAGCATCGCTCTCCGCCACCGTCGAGGTCCTGGAGATGAGGAGGATTATGAGACACCGCCTCGCCCAGACCGGCCTACAAAGCGGGGAAGGTTGAACGACAACAGCGAGGCAGGACATGGTAAAAGGGTGAAATGGGACAAGGGACTTTCAAGCACTGTGTATCTGGACGACAATCCTCCTAAACCCAGGAAACCACCTAAGGAAGACGTCGCTAGAAGAGGGTGTCTCGCTCCAACAGCTAAGGTTTGCCTGCCTTACCTTTTTCTTGGCTTAAAAAGCTGAAGGGCTGGCCTTAGTCTCAGCGCCTCGATACGCTCGGAAACGTGCTCAACGCAGAGATCCCATTAAATGATCTCGTGCACGAAGACGTTATTGTAAAGAAGTTCGTCTACGATGACGATGTCGAAGAAGGGTCCGCAGCCGCTGAAGCGGCTTCACAGATGCCTGTTCTCAGGTCCTCGAAGAATCAAGGTAGGAGGGTGAAGCCAGCGAAGACCTAAACTTGGTTTTCTACTTCTGACTTTGTCTCTTATATTCTTACATGATGATTCACTTGTTAGTCGCACAATGTATACCTATCTCAACTGATCTGTCATTCATACCCTGCTACCGTGACCTCGATGTCTACGTAATGATCATACACTTTCGTATCATATCAAGATAGGATGAAATGCAACCAATCCGTCAGAGTCTTTACATTCAATGTGGTAAGTGTACGTTACATCTAGACAAGCTACTTACTTTCCACCGCGATAATTGATTGTAGGAGAAGCCTGATTCACAGGTAGCACGAAGACCTCCGCAACATTAACGTGCGGAGGCCTTGCTGCTGCCCAGACGATTTCTTCTGCGATATCCTCTGCTGTCACTGTTGAATAATCGTTAAGCTACAGAGTTTGCGGCTGAGCATACTAAACACCAACGTGGCTGAAGTCCTTCGTACACCTTGTCGGCGGCGGATTTATCACCACGGTAGCGCACGACAGAGAATTCAGTCTCCACCATGCCTGTACGGGTTATAAGTCTAGCCCTCCAACGCACAATTGTACGCACCTGGCTGAATCTCCGTAACCCGGATAGGTGTGTCCACCACTTCTCGCATCAGGGAGCCGGTAAATGCCCTCACTGCATGCTTTGTGGCACAATAGATACTGCCTCCTGTATACGGTTCTCTGCCTGAGAGGAGATTAGTTCATGAACTTGCTAACTGGTTGTAATATTAAAAAATTACCCGCTACAGATCCAAGGTTGATGACGTGACCAGACTTCCGCTCTTTGAAACCTAACAAAAAGTAAGTACTGATGGAAGATGCCAAGAGTCTACGAGTGAGAGAAAGACGTTTACCTTTGAGTAGTAGCTGGGTTATGGAGATGAGACCCAGGACGTTCGTTGCAAACATGCCCTCAATGTCTGCATCCGCGATACTTCCAACTCGCTCCACGCCAAGCACATAGCCAGCGTTGTTGACTATCTGAAGTGGTCAGACAAGCCAACTTAACCTCTTGCATGCGTAAAGCACCTACCCAGAATGTCGACCGCTTGGAGCTCTGCGGGGACCTTGTCAAAGAGCGACGCAACCTGTGTCTTATCTGAGACATCAAGTTGTACGGTGACAAACTTGCCCCCTTGCTGTAAGCCAGACTCCTTGTGAGCTGTGCTGCAAGCTTCCGCAACTTTCTTCAGGGCATCTGCACGGCGCGCGCATAGGATGACATTGGAACCACCCTTCAGTCAAGTGCAGTTAGACTCATAAGTGCATGATCGATTGGCAAAAAGATCCTACTTTTGCGAACAAGACGGCGGTTGCCTATGATCATCTCAATCATCGCCTTCTCTAGGATATCTAGTAGACTAGACATGTACTTACCGCTCCGATGCCAGCGCTCGCGCCAGTAATGAGCACGGTTTTGCCGATCAGTCGAGAGGCGTTGAAGACAGACATTGCACGACGAGCAAGGTTGATCCTGGCGATCCGTCTATGTATCTGCAAGACTTGCGGAATGAAGGGGAGCCGGCTGAGTACTGAGGCATCCCATCTAAGTCCGTATCTGATAACCAAGCGCATGTGGCCAAACTTGAAGCTATCGGGCGAGCTTACTGTGTGACTCTGCGTTTCAACGTCGTACTACCAAGTGCTTGCAGAACTGAAATTCGCTCTAACGGGATAGATCATAACACGACTGCTCAAGGATTTCCTACAGCACAGAAATAGGACAGGTTTCTTCTACCCATTTCGATTGGTCTAGGTAGTGTCAAGAGGTAAGAGTAGCGCAAGTGTACAGCCGTCGGCCTGGGCATGGCGGAAGGAAATCGCGATAGCGAGCGTTGGAATCGCATGCTGACATGGTTGAGAGATGAACATGGGATGGAAATGGGCGAAGAAGGCTTATTTATTGAATCCAAATCCACCGCCGGTAACTGTCTTTGGTTTTCGTCTCCTCTGAGCGTTAAAATGCGTTCATTCAAGAATCAGGAAGAGGACTGTTTACGACAAGAGACTGTCCGGTATGCAATCCTCTGCTGCAATCCTGGTTCAGTTCGTACCCGTCGTAACGAAGCACTCATTTGCAGCCTTCCGCGCAACTGCTCACGATCCCTTCAACGGCTCTCATCAATGTCAAGACTCTCGCCTCTGTCTACACTTCACCATACTCGTTGAAAGGTCTAACAGCTGTTCAACAAATGTCTCTACATCTCCTCATGCACAGACCCGAGGGAGAGCACGATTCTCTGGATCCTGTTTTTGGGCCTTACCTGTCGACTTTACCACGAAATTTTGATAGCCACCCTCTTACATGGATCGTCAAGCTGAAGCGCACAGGTGCAAAGGCTTCAGAGATGTCTATGTTAGAAAGTCTGCCGCCGAGCGTAACACAATCCCTGCGTAAACTGCAAGACCTATTCTACGAAGATTGGAAGGCTGTAAGCGGGCACTTAGTGAGTAGCCGCTCCTGCAAAGTCACAGCTGCCTTCCTTACCTGTTGGGTGTATGGACTACGCTAGACACGCAACTCTAACTTGTTAAAGAAGTCAACTCGTCAGATTACTGCTCTGCCTGCCTTCAAGCATTACGATGATCTTATAGATTATTCCTGGGCATGGCTGAATGGTCGTATTAATTTCTGCTGTGACGATGATTAACTGACGTTATCGCTTCAGTCAACACTCGCAGCATCTACTATCCTGTCCAAAATCTCCCTTCCGGTAATGATAATTTGACACTATGTCCAATTCTCGACTTTGCCAATCACACAGACGGGCAGTCTCAAATCATCCCCAGAACCGAAATTACTTCCACGCCCTCATCTATTGTGCCGCGGCGTCGCGATGATTATACTTTCTTCTCATGGACTAATACTGTGATTGGTCACGATCAGGAGTTATTCTTGAGGTACGGGGGTCATGCGAATCGAACACTTTTCGTGCAGTATGGATTTGTTTGCCCGTTTCCCCCGAATGCCATTGCGGAAGGCGACGTCCGTGGAGAGGTAGACGTGCAAGACTTGATAGAGGATATTTTTGCGACAAGCGCGATAGGATCGTGGATAAAGACAACACTAGAGGACTCGGGATACTGGGGGTGCGTTTCTATATTCTCTACACAAGACCGTATGAATGAATTATCGCAGTGACTGGACACTTGACTCGTTGCCGCTACCGGCACATCCGTCATACCGTCTCATTACAGCACTGCGACTGTTCCATCTTGTAGCGAGATTACCCGGTGCCCCTCCCTGCAAATTAGAGGCAAAGATCAAGCCCTGGAGAGATGTTCTGAGTGGGAAACTCGATATCATCGCCGATGACAATGAACAACAGTGGAGAGCCTCTCTTTTGGACATTTGCGAGACTATCGCGCGCCGCGCACGAGTTGGCATGCGAGATGCTGCGACGAGGTTACCGTATATGACTGGATGGCCTGCGTGGATGAAGAATAACATACAAACCTTGTGGAGAGAAGAGCTGGAGGTTGCTGATGCTGTTGCACATAGTATACGCACAGGTGAAGAATTCTAAATGCCATTGTATGAGCTACTGGCTTGGTGTCTTGGCTTTAGTGCGATCGACCCCACAAGGGCGTGTCGATCGACTCCTCTCCGAGGATATATTATCGAACAAGCTACTCGTCGATCGACGAGTCTGACATACACCATAGAGACAAACATTATTTAACTTCCGGGACCGTTATTCCAACAAGTGCGGGTCCGAGGTATTTGTGACCGTGATGCAGATTCTCGGGATCGGGGATGTAGTAGACTGCGCAGCCACAGTACCAGCAGGAATTTGACCCGAGTAATTTCAACATATTAGCGCAGAGAACTCCGAGTCGTTGGGGCATGTACATGCATTGCCTAGGGGCACTGGCGCATTGCTGCTTACGTAAATGACCGTTGCCTCCCGTTTCAGTCTTGTGGGGACAGCGCCCATTGCTGCGCTCTTGAGGCTCTGGTTGCACCGCTTCACAATCTCGACCTGCCTTGAAAGCCAGTACCTCAACCCTCATCCTGGCCGAATTTCACTCTTGAAAGTGCTTTGTAATTTTCCGTAGCAACCCGCTTTCGTCGACGGGGATGGCTGCTAACGAACCGTTACTGAGCACGAGGGCCCAGCGGGCCTTCATTGGCACCGGTACGTGGCGGATGAGTTTGTATAAGATGCATGTACCTGGTATTGACCAGGTTTTTTTTATCTGTTGTAGTTGTACTCCGTAAGTTTGTACTGTTCGTCGGGTCTGATTCAAGTTACACATGCATGCTGTCGACTAGAGGCGGTAGTGGTGCTAGTGATGGTTGCAATCTCTTTCAAGTTTGTATGTGAATGAAAACATGTTGCGGACGAATCAGCTCAATGTTTTCGCATCCAGGTAGAGGAGCACGTAGACTACACTCTGAACCGATACAAGGTGTGTCCAGCTAAAGATCGTTGCGTCGTGAAGTTTAAGTTTTTACACGCTATGTGCAGACACTGCCATGTTATCTGGCGCTTTTCGTTCTAGCTGAGTATGTGCTATTCACTCTTTAGCCACTTACAAGTTCTCTGACCTTGCCTGAAGAATCTTCGAGCTTTTGATGGCTTTGGATGCCCTTCGATTACGAAATGTTATTCAGCTGATTGGCCTCTTATGTGAGCAACCTCAACCCGAAAGCGATAAGCCACCGGGTCGTTGCTCTGCTCTGGTATTGACACTGGTTCGTCATAGGCTTCCAAGGGGGTATGATCGTGATGGCTGCATTGCAAGTGCACGAGACGCGTACTGCATTGGTAATATATCCATCGGAAGATGGGTCGCAGAATTACGTGGTTAGTGTTTTTGTAGTGTTTGGATAATCGCACTTTGAACATGTTCTCCAGAATGGTGGTGGCCCGGGGACGCTCTGGCGGAAAATCGAGCCGTTCCTCATCGTTTCTCCCATCATGATTGCAGTGTCTTGGGCGGCCCTTATTTTCTTCTTCCGAGAATTGTACCGCGAGTTCGGGTGTGTATACACTTCGTTTCAAAAGTCAGCCTGTCCCCTAATTGTTATATTTCAGTTGGGCAATTTTTCATGTCGTCGGAGCCAACCCAGCCATGAAAAGTAATTTACATTCCCTAACTTCGTGTTCTTGCGCTCATTGAATCATCGTATCATCACAGCCATGTATCAATTTTATCAGATCATGGTTTGCTTGTTGAAGTTTGATTTTTTTGCCTTCATTGGCGTCTCAATACAGGTGAGACCACGACCCTCAAGTTTTATAGTCTCCCGTATAAATTTGCGAGCATGGTTTCAGCTTCTCATTGTGGTCCTACAAGACAACACCGCAGAGTTCGGCCTGACGGTGGCTGCGATTCCTGTGGTGTTGATCCTTCTCTTGATTGCGGGCGTTGCGGTGCAACGCGAGATCAAATGGTCAGTGAGGGATCTATTAGATATCTCATGATTCTTGATCATCCGGCATTTGCAGGCTCATGTCGGTCTCGCTAGCTCTCATGTTGGCGGCGCAAACGTATTGTGAGTGTCGAAAAATCTGTCTTAAGGTCATATGTTCACATCATATCGCCCTAATTCTAGTCAGTACGTGTTTCAATCATACGGGCGTCCATGTATTTCCTTGAACAGCGGCGTTATAGTCTATAAGCTCGTGCGTTTCTATGAACCCAGCTCATCAGAGCAATATCTTTCCACGAGGGCCACTTTAACTGTATTCAGTACGTCTACAAATTGGCACCAGCATTGCGTGTTCGATTGCTAACGTTATTCTGTGCAATAGCTATCATTGCTTCGCTATTAATGTTTGCAACATTCGGCGTAGGTGTCCGCTGTTTCCACGACTTCGACAAAGGCCTGCAAAATTCAAAGATGCACGGTCAGTATTACAAGCCTGTTGCAACGCAACTCAGAGAGAACTTATTCGGATTTGGTAATGCTATTCTGTTCCTTCAAGGTGTGACCTGGAACCACAAATACTTATCGTCATTCCTCAACCACCCAGGAGAAACGGCTGATCGCAAGTCTTCGTACAACGCTGGTACCGCATTGCAGCAACGGATATCAATTGAATGATTTTTGCTTTGCTTTGTTGACTTGTTCGTGTTGGGATGGTGGGTGGACTTTCATGTTGTGGATGACTCCTGGTGATGATCTTGCTGTGCACGTGTCCATGATCGTATCTTATATAAGTGTACAAAGAATCTGGGCTGGACTAGTACATATTTATATATTGGGGAGTATGTGTCTTGCCCCGCGGTAACCTATCCATTCCTTTGTCTGACCAGTATGCGTGCGTCTCCATTATTTGAATGTGCTCATTCAGTGATAAGTGTGGAGGTCTCTGCAAGTTCTACTGGTCGTTCTTTACCTGCCTTCAAAGTTCCAAGCTTCACTGGCTTTAAGACTGGTCCAAAATCACGAAGCTGAAAGTGATTCATTTATACTACAACTTGGTTAGAGAGGTGCCACTGGCGCCGGTTCTAATGACCAGTAACTCGCATTTGTGTTGTCGCGTGGTAACCCAAGCATTTATAGGAATTGTAACCAGAAGTTAATAGGTGGCAAATATACATTGTGTTGGAACTAGAGGCCACACAGCTTATTAGAAAGAATCGCCCATCACAGTGGAGTGCATTTGGGAACTTCGCGAGGGGGGTGGACCACTGTGCAGCAAATTGACAGCACGGATCCACATCAAAGGTGGTCCGAAAGCGATCCCAGCTAAAGTCCCAAAAAACGGTCATCAACTTCGAACGAATCACCGGTTGACATTCGCACCGACTCGTGTGTGGCAGATAAGTCAAATATCGAATACATATGAACACACCGTTCATCAGCCGCGGCTGCAAGAGCAGCAATTGTCCGCTGTTTACTTGGCAAACTGATTTCATACAGACGAGCCACGGATCTGAGTGTATAAAATGGTAAAAAAAAACCACATATAAACCTAAAGGGGACATCCAGCACGACAGGTGCATTTCAACAACCTTCTGAGGAGTTCATGTAAACACAATCAGTAGTAGTAGTACATACGTAGTACAACTTCATTGAAGTTTCAAGGTAGTACGTGCACAGTACACGTTGTCACGTGATACGCGTCAAGCCCACAGACGCGTCCCAAAATGTCTAATTACCTGTCTGATCACCAACCTCCATCATGGACAACCGCGACGACCCCATCTTCCAGTTCTTCCCGGATGCTGATTCTATCGACCTATACGAAGTCCTCTCCGTTACGCATGATGCGACGTCAGACGAGATCAAGAAAGCATATCGTCGTCTCGCGCTTGCCCATCATCCAGACAAGCATACCACCGCGAGCGAATCTGCCAAAGCCGACGCGTCTGTGAAGTTCCAGCAGATTGGTTTCGCGTACACTGTCCTCTCAGACGATAAGCGGAGAAAGAGGTACGATTCAACGGGTAAGACGGATGAGGGGGTCAACCTCGCGCCCGGGGTGGATGGCTGGGAGTCGTATTTTGAGGACCTATTTGATCGCGTCACGAAGGAGAAGCTTGATGAGTTGAAGAAGGAATACCAAGGTGTGTTACTTACATTCGCATTTCTGTGCGTACTGAACGCTCGTAGGCTCCGAGGAGGAAGTAGAGGACATCAAGAAAGCGTATCTCGACTGCGATGGTTCCATCGACGACATTATGAACCGTATCCCCCATTCGACATTTGATGATGAAGCGCGCTTTGTCGTCCTTATCTCTGAGCTTATTTTGAAGGGGAGCCTCCCATCATCTCCGCATTGGGAAGCTGGTATTAAGGATGAAAAGGCAAAACTAGTGCGTAAGAAGCAGAGCCAGAAGGAGGCTGAGGAGGCTGAGAAGCTCTCCAAGGAGCTTGGGGTTTGGGAGGAATTTTATGGCGATGCAAGACCTAGTCCAACGAAGGGCCGAGGGGGTGGCAAGGGGAAAGCCAAACAGCAGGCGGAAGACCAGGAGGAAGATCACTCTGCACTACAGGCTCTTATCCTAAAAAAGAGGAATCTGGACGGATTCTTCGACAGTCTTGCGGCGAAATATGCCGAACCAGAGCCAAGGAGTAAGAAGGGTAGGAAACGCGGGAAGGCGGCAGACGGTGACGAGGCCGGGGAACCTCCAAAGAAGAGGAAATTGGTTGCCGTAGAACCTCCAGTGATTGATGAAGAAGAGTTCCGGCGGTTGCAACAGAAGCTCTTTGATAATAAGACTAAGTCGGAGGAGGATGCAGACCGCGCATCTTCCAAGGGGAGAAAGGCAACTCGAGACAATACGGTGAGGAGGGCTAGATAATGTAATTTGTAAGATCTATCATACCCTACAAACTTGCTGCGGTACAGCTGAATTGATTGCAGGTCGGTTTGAGACTGTTCAGGTTTATTGTTATGATACTCAGTCGTCCGGATTGTATGCTTACTGTATATGTATGTATAATAGTTTCGCCCGGGTCCCTGTCGTAATCTGAGGGTATCATTGAAATCTAGCTATCTAGATGTTCCATAAATTACAGATATCGTATCGAATCAATTCCGAGGCTACGTCGAGCATGGATGATAGCAACAAGTTCTTTGATAGATTCCTCCAGAATTACCACATTGTCCAATAATCGCGATAAAGTAACGTTGGCGACTCCATTATGTTTCTGATCGTCATCACTGTCGTCTTGAGCATCACTCTCTACATCGGCACGACGGTCTCCCCATTGCCCGGAAGACCCAAAGACGTCTTCGTCATCAGTGTTCCACTTCCGAGGCATCCGGGGTGTCCATGGTCCGGTCGAAGGTGGAGGGGCCGCAAACGGCTCAACAACGATCGCACCAGTCTTCTGGTAATGGGGACCAAACGGACTTGCCTCGACATTTTTATCCTCTTTCCGTGGTGGAGTTGCCAGTTCGGTCGATAAAGATTTAGCAGGTTTGCTCTTTTTCGGTGTGAGAAACGAGACCAACGAGGATGCTGATTTCGGTTTAGACTTGGGTCGAGCGGTACTTGGCTCTGATGTAGCTGGATTGGTCAACGTTGGCTTAGTCGACACTGATGGTTCAATTTCTAAAGCCAATGTCAACGCGTCCGTGAGGTTTTCAGAAAAAAGTAGGCCTTGTCGCCGCTCGAGGAGGTACTGATCAAAATTCCCGACCATCACTCTGTACCGTTCGAGCTGCGATACAAGCCCATGGAAAACCGAATGTACAACAGGTCGCGACTGTTCGTCGATGCTTGATGCCGGAAGGAAGTGAGATTCAGAAGCGAGCTTCTCCTCTATCCGAAAGTCGATAGAGCGATCGTCACCATCGTTCCCATAATCAAACGTGACGCCGTCCTGAGTAAGCCCAACCTGGACTGTATCGATTTCCTTGGAAGCGAATGTCAACCAACCTGCCAAGGATCGATCTGGACAAACTGCGAGCGTGGCAAGGACTCCAGTGAGTGCCATGTTAAGCTCGGGGCTATTCGAGAAAAATGTGCGCAAAGCCTCAAGGACGCACGAGAGTAGGGGGTCATTGGGGTTGAGGCGGTGCTTTAGTTTAGGTCTCATCTCCGTATCGACATCTTGCTGGAAGCATATCTGGTTTTGTATCGATAGAAGGGCGTCGTGCAGGTAGTGATCATAGCCGGTGCTGAAGGCGTCTTCGTTGTGATTAGGATCAACGCGAGATACCAGTGTCAGGTAAAGGCCCATCTCGCGTTCGTGGGTCCAGTATGTTGTGTCTGGTTGTAGGAAAGTAATTGAATCCATGATAGCAGGGTCACCTCTTGAAGGTCTCGTTGTGGTCCTATCAGAGCCGGGATAAACGAATGATTCTTCATCGTCAGAGTATGATGGGGCCCTTTCGGTAAGAAGCTTTACGACAGCGGGATGCGGAAAGCTAGTGGCATGAGGATCGTGGATGACAATGAGTAGTCTGTCCACGCATATTGTGCAACACTGTAACAATAGTGATTGCAGCAACTGCAATGCAGCAGTTTTAGTAGGCTGGGACTTGGATCGCAGACTACTCAGAAGCAGGTCTTTCAGGGTAAAGCGGCCCATGGACGTGAAATATTCGGACTGCCTCCTTGACTCTGGTGCTTCCATCTCCAACAGAACCATGGCAGTGCTTTTCCGTCGGCGCAACTTCGTTTTCTTGTCAACTGCGCGAGCAGTCGGTGGAACACTTCCGTTTAAATTTAGGGTTGACTGGTGATGCATATGGCCTCGCGAGAGAACCTCGCTGTTGTCTTCGCTCGTGAGGAAGTCTATCAAGAGATCCGCGAGCTCGCCATTCTGTAGAGTGTGGAGCATAATTTCGATGTAAGACATGACTGCGACCGCACTCCCATCAACGTCGGAGCATTCAAGGATAGATGGGTATAGGACATTTTCAAGAAATACCCTCCGGATGGCGTCTAAAATTGACTGTACAATGGCAGAACCCACGAGATTCGATGCATCTATGCTGCCATCCGCACTTTCGCGGAGCACATTCCGACGAAGGACATCTTGCAAGAATTCCAGCAGCTTGAGAAAATGGTCCAAACGCGCCCTGAAATCTGGATTCGACGAGTCCTCGACTCCCAATGCGCGACTCTTCTCCTGCGCGGCCTCGATATCCTCCTTCTCTTCATTAGACAATTCGATCAGAGTGCTCCCAAGCACCATACCACCGTTCCGCGTGTTTTCCGATGGCACCGGTGGTCTAATGTCCAGCTTGGACGGCAAAAGTGAATATACTGCTGAAACTCCTGCAGCGAGCACTTCGGAAAAATCACCATCAATAATGTACTCCGCAAGTGCTAAAGCAGCATCGGCAGTAGGGTCAGTAAAGGCGACGTCTGAACGGGAAGACGAAGACAGATGAGTAATATCCTCAACAGCTTTGTGACCCGAGTCCCCAGGAGACATTGCCACATCCATGAGAAAGAGAAGTCCTGCACGAGCGAAATCACCAATGCGTCCTTCTCGATGTACGAAGCGAAGCAGATAGTTGAAGAGAAGAAATTCATATTCCGGCTTCTTGCTGAGTGAGGATGTGGGTGCGAAGCTGCCTGTGTCATGAGAGGAAGTTGGTGAACCGGGATGTGGTAATCGAACAGCAGCAGAGACCCTATCTTCTGGCGTATTCACAACCTCATCAACATGTTCCGCTGTTTCATCGTCTCTTTCCTCATCCTCCTGGGCTTCTTCATCCTCTTCTTCTACAGAGAATAATGGCTCCGGTCGATACCACTGCTTGTCGTGGAAGAAGATCATGAGCAGTTCTCTATACGTTCTGATCCTGCTGCACAAAATGCAAAGAAGATTTACAACTACACAGTTATCTCAGACAAAGCAGTGAGTCATGGATGGGAGCAGAACGTACGGTCTTCTTCATATTCAGAGGGAGGGCTTCTGACTGCATTGCCCGCAGCGCCCATCACTTTATTTCTGCCATCTAACTGCTCTTGAATGTCATCCCCAACGCAATTCCTCAGAAGTCGGAGGACGGCCTTGTGTACAGCGGAATGGACGAGGAATTGCTCATCTAGAAGCACAACCATATTTTGCACAGCGCGTAGTACCTCGGCTTGAGTGCCTGAGGGGCGATCTGTCTCGCTTAGCTTCACAAGAGTGCCAAGAACATCTTGAGCATATATATCATTAGCTAGAAGCAGGTTCGTGAGACATCGTTCCTTACCGTTCTTGAGGAGATACTCTAGACATGCGCCGGTGCCTCTGGAAGGGACAATATGAGGTCCAACGGATGAGCAGTGACAACCATATAACCCACACACCCTTCTTCTGTTCGCGTTGACTCCCATACGAGCGCATCAACCATCGATTGAAGGTGAATCGGTACGTCAGTGGACTTGATACCGCGCGACAACTGGCGTTCGTCTGGATGCAGCAAGGTGTTCTGCGGGCACCTCTTCAGCTTATGGCGTTTGTGGTTGCGCTGCAGCGAGACAAACCTTTACCAACAGCCATGATTTGTGGAACTCTTGGGAATGGTCGACCTGTGCAGCGCTATTCAACTAGATATAAGAGATACTACAGAAATCAGCTACCTCCGCCTTGGGGGCTGCCTGACTCCCCGATCTCAAGAACTTTGAGAAGTAATCCATTCCCCTTCGAGCAGTATTCAGGCGAATTCTTAACAAAGGGTGTATGCCGAGTGGTGGAATGTCGCAGTAGTGTGTTATTGCAGACGGACGGATACTGTAACATGTCGATCACGACTCACGGCATTTCGCACAGTACTGCTAGTACTGCTAGAGTGACTCTTGCTACTTAGTTGCACATAGCTGTCAGAAGATCTTCTGTCTGCAAACGCTTCGACTCTCTTTCACACTATTTTACCAACGATTTAGGTGTGAGTATTTTGACTGCAGGAATCGCTCCTTGGTTGAGTACTAGTCTCCCGCTACCTGTGCTCGGCCGACAACTTCAACAACGCTCGTTCAACTTTGATGATTTGCTCTTGTATGCAAAGGCTACTGCCCATACTAACTCTGCATACTGGACTTTCTGAGGCCGGCTTTGTTCTCGTCTTCAAACAATCTAAGGGGTGTGTAGGTGTATATTTAACAAAGACCGTGGAGATCGCTATTTTAACATAGGACAGATACACTCGATAAAATTCCTTTGATGCAAAAACGTGAGAGCTCTTGATTTTGGATCAAGAATGTCAAGGGCATTCGGGAATCGTTAAACCGCGAACATCGACATTCAGGTGCATATAAAGGTACGTTCGTGGCTGACCCGCTGTCAACCTCTTTCTTCGGAACATATCAAGTAGATATTAGTCTGATGCATGTTTTTCCGATGCTTGACGCGATGTCCATCTCTGGACCTCGATTCGGACTCATGAAAACAAGTATCTCCAGAAAACTCAGCTTACACCGTTTCCAATCGACAACATCTCCCTCTTCCGACCTGGTACTTGAATCGGTTGATTCCCGATGGCAAGGCTCAGAATCTCCGGAGCTCCAGTCATATTCTTCTACTAGTAATCCGCTGCAGACTATCCGTGATCTCATCGCCCCTACCATTATCATAACCGAGGCTCCAGAGACAGAGACTTCTATGGCATCAGATATCCAGTCACCCGGAAACTTGCTTACGAATAGTCATGCGGCCGAAGCGGACCATCTTACAGGAGATCACCCAATCTCTGCATTTTCCGCAAACGAGGACACTGGGATGCTCGTTTCAACCGACGTCCAGGCGGACTATCAATGCAGCTCCAGCCATGATACCGAGATTGCTTTCAGACGCCAAGTAAGGATACTGTACAATCAACATGAAGCTCTTCGAAACAAGGTAGCATCGCTGGAACAAATCATACGCGACTCTTCCAAACGCCTCCATGATTGTGCAGCCGCTTCAGCTGTTGTATTGGAAACGGAAAGAGAGCTCCGCCTCGAGCAAGAAGCCAAGACGCGGAGAGCGGAAGATCGAGTGCGATCTCTATCACGCGAGAACGGGTATCTGGTACAGGCCAAAATAATACTGGAGAAGCAACTCGCCCGCGCGATCAACGACACACAAGGCTGGCAAGACAAGATTCGCGCCGCTCAGGACATGCAGGAGATGGCAATGAGGGCATATCACCGATGTGACGCTTTGGAAGAAAAGAATCTAGAGCTTCAGCAAGCTGTCGATGCTTTCGCGAGGGGCTCCGAATCAACAACTATCCTACAGTTGCAAACCGCCATTGAGCGACTTACCGCCGAGCTTGAGATCAACAAGAACCAAAAGGCCGGCAATGCGCAATCGAAATGGAGGACTGCCCGTGAAGCCAGTGAAGAAGGAAGTACTGCCGTACTTGATGAGATGCGTGAAAAGACGCGAACATTACAAGTGCGTCTCTTCAAATTATTCTATGCCTATAGTAATTACATAGCTATATCCAGAGACAGCGAGACGACAACGTCATTGCGGGCAGCCACAAATATGCTTTCAGTCATATCCCATAATTTATCCTACATGACCTGTAATCTCTCCTAGTACCACGTCAGAACTACAGGACATTTTTTCGGTAGTCCGAGCTAGCTGAACTGGATCTGTGCTCTTCAGGGAGACAGCCTGGTAATAGGCCGTTGCCGTAGCGTCAAAATGATGCCCAGAAGGCCAGAGCAACGAGTTCCCACGTGCCGCAAGGCAGTGAGCAAAAGCGACAGCTTCTTGTAACAATACCATTGCGACTGTCGATTCCAGTCTTTTCTCTCTCATCTCGTTACTCTTCGACGATTTCCTTTGACCCAACACGAGCTTGTTGCTGGTCATTCCACTCTTTTCTGATCGACAGTGACAGCGGATACCCAACAACTCATTCGTCACCTTTTCGTCGGGCATGGCTGCTCGCCCAGAATACGGGGCCTCTGACCCTCAGAATCCGTTCTCCAACCATCCATCTCCTTATGGCCAACCATTACGCCAATACTCCGTCGATTCCGACCCTAATGACGCTTATGCTAGTCGGAATGCCAGCAGTGTTCCACTGACAAACGCCGCTTACTACGATGGACAAGCTCAATGTGAGTGTTTATCCTGGGATGGTTTTGTGCGACCTGGGAGAAATGCGAGTTCTATGGGGCGCAACGCCTAACACCGGCCGCTTCGTACGAGAGGGATTATGAAGCTGAGGGGCGGCCCACATCAGCCACATTTCGAGGATGTCTACTTTGGCTGGGACCCCTTTGGTTTCCCGCATTGAGAGCGTCCCATTTACGTTGCTTATTATCCTTTCCCGCAGCCGCTGTTAGCGTTGATTCCGTGAATGAATACGACCGCCGGTATACGCCGTCTATTGGCTCTCAATTGAGCATGGGAAATGATGGCCCCTTCGCTGACATCCCTGGTGCGACTGAACCCTATCCGGCCTGGTCTTCGGAGCGCGAAATACCCATGTCAATGGAGGAGATAGAAGACATCTTCTTGGATCTTGCTCAAAAGTTCGGCTTTCAGAGAGATTCCATGAGAAATATGGTGAGTGCGTTTTTGCTGTGGCCTTCAACATGTTGTGAAGTGCCATATAGTTTGATTTCTTGATGCAACTCCTCGATTCGCGAGCCTCGCGCATGTCCCCTAATCAAGCGTTGACTACGATACACGCGGATTACATCGGAGGCCATCACGCAAACTATCGCAAATGGTATTTCGCTGCCCAACTTAATCTTGACGATGCAGTTGGACAGGCGCAGAACCCCGGTCTGCAGCGGCTTCGTAGCATGAAAGGGAAAGTGCAAACTGCCAGCACCAAATCGCTTGACAGTGCCCTGAATAGGTGGCGCAATGCGATGAATAACATGAGTCAGTATGACCGACTTCGTCAGGTGGCGCTTTGGTTACTGTGCTGGGCAGAAGCGGGCAACGTGCGCTTTACACCCGAATGCCTGTGCTTCATTTTCAAGTGTGCGGACGAATATTATCGGAGCCCGGAGTGTCAAAACCGAGTGGACCCTGTACCCGAAGGACTTTACCTCGAAAGTGTAATTAAACCGCTCTACCGCTTCATGCGCGATCAAGGATACGAAGTCTCGGCGGAAGGTAAATTTGTTCGAAGAGAGAAGGACCATGACCAGATTATTGGGTACGATGATATCAATCAGCTTTTCTGGTATCCAGAAGGTCTTGCTAAGATCGTGCTCAAGGATAATGTGGGTGAATATTCCGTATATATCAATCTTGACTGACGTAGCCTTGCAGACGCGATTACTCAATCTCCCTCCGGCACAACGCTATATGAAACTAGGCCAGGTCGCGTGGGAGCGTACATTCTTCAAGACTTACTTTGAGAAGCGTTCGCTTGGTCATCTTCTCATCAACTTCAACCGCGTGTGGATTTTGCATATTGCAGTGTTCTGGTTCTACACGGCTTACAACTCGCCTAAAGTATATACTGCTACGGGGAAATCCAGTCCGTCAGCAGCGATGACTTGGTCGGCGGTGGCTCTCGGCGGTGCCGTTGCTACCTCGATCATGATTGCCGCGACGATTGCTGAGTTCTCCTTCACCCCTACATCGTGGAATAACGCTTCGCATCTGACAACCAGGCTCATTTTCTTACTCGTCGTCCTCGCATTGACTGGTGGACCTACTGTCTATGTTGCCATGGTTGATGATTCAGCATCCAATATCCCACTGATAATCGGCATTGTGCAGTTCTTTGTTTCTGTCGTCGCCACCGTCGCATTCGGTATTATTCCCTCTGGTAGAATGTTCGGTGATCGTGTGGCCGGTAAATCGCGCAAATTTATGGCCTCGCAGACGTTCACCGCGTCGTATCCTACTTTGGGTGGCAGTTCGCGATTCGCCTCGGTCATGTTATGGCTCCTCGTCTTTGGCTGCAAGTTCACCGAGTCGTTCTTCTTCATGTCATCATCGTTCAGCGAGCCAGTCGCCGTGATGGCACACACGAAGGTACAAGGATGCAATGACAAGATTTTCGGAAACGCTCTTTGTTCTAACCAGGTGATGTTTGCGCTAGCCATCATGTATGTGATGGATTTGGTGTTATTCTTCCTGGATACCTACCTCTGGTACATCGTCTGGGTCGTGGTGTTTAGCGTGTGTCGGTCTTTCTATCTGGGATTATCGATCTGGACCCCTTGGAAGGAGGTATATACGCGTATGCCAAAACGGATTTACGCCAAACTATTGGCTACCGCTGATATGGAGGTAAAGTACAAACCGAAGGTGAGTTTATGATAGCATCGCGGGTTCACTTGTGCTTATAAACCTCTGTAGGTTCTGGTCTCTCAAATATGGAACGCGATCATCATCTCCATGTACCGAGAGCATCTGTTGTCGATTCATCATGTCCAGCGATTACTTTATCACCAAGTGGATGGGCCTCAAGGCCACCGTGTGCTTCGTGCGCCACCATTCTTCACACACAACACCGGCAGGGAGAGCGATTTCTTCCCGGCTGGAGGGGAAGCTGAACGCAGGATCTCGTTTTTTGCTCAGTCTCTCACGACCGCGTTCCCAGATCCTTTGCCTGTAGACTCAATGCCGACCTTCACAGTACTCATTCCCCATTACTCGGAGAAGATCTTGTTAAGTTTGCGCGAAATCATTAGAGAAGAGGATCAGAACACTCGTGTCACGCTCTTGGAGTACTTGAAACAGCTGCATCCTATTGAGTGGGATAACTTCGTCAAAGACACCAAGATCCTCGCCGATGAAAACTCCGCTACGAGTTCCTTTGACGGTGACCATCCGAACGAGAAGCGTGACAGTCGGGCGGACGACTTGCCGTTTTATTGTATTGGTTTCAAGACATCCGCACCAGAGTACACTCTTCGTACTCGTATCTGGGCTTCGCTCCGGGTCCAGACTCTATACCGTACGGTCTCTGGGATGATGAATTACTCCAAGGCCATCAAGCTCATGTACCGAGTCGAGAACCCTCAGATCGTACAGAGATTTGTCGGTAACACCGACAGACTTGAACGGGAGCTGGAGCGTATGTCTAGACGTAAGTTTAAGTTCGCCGTGTCAATGCAACGTTATGCGAAGTTCAATAAGGAGGAATTGGAGAATGCCGAATTCTTGCTACGTGCCTATCCTGACCTCCAGATCGCCTACTTGGATGAGGAACCTGGTCAGAGGAGCGGAGAGTCTCGGATATTCTCTGTGCTCATCGACGGACATTCGGACGTGGACGAGAAGGGGAAGAGGAAACCTAAGTTCCGTGTTGAATTGCCCGGAAATCCTATCCTTGGTGACGGCAAGTCGGACAATCAAAATCATGCCATCATCTTTTACCGGGGAGAGTACCTCCAGCTCATTGATGCGAATCAGGACAATTACTTGGAAGAATGCATCAAGATTCGCAACATCCTTGGTGAATTTGAGGAGTACTCTGTTTCCGGCCAGAGTCCGTATGCACAGTGGGGCCACAAGGAGTTCCAGAAAGCTCCAGTTGCGATCGTTGGCACCCGTGAATACATTTTCTCAGAGAATATTGGTGTACTAGGAGATATCGCCGCTGGGAAAGAACAGACGTTTGGCACCATGACACCACGTGTGTTGGCGTGGATCGGAGGCAAGCTTCACTACGGACATCCTGACTTTTTGAATGCCACCTTCATGGCCACGCGAGGCGGTGTTTCCAAAGCTCAGAAGGGTTTGCATTTGAACGAGGATATCTTTGCTGGTATGAACGCGATCGGTCGTGGCGGTCGAATCAAACACTCTGAATACTATCAGTGCGGAAAGGGGCGCGATCTCGGATTTGGTACCATCTTGAATTTCCAGACGAAGTTGGGTACTGGTATGGGTGAACAAATGCTCAGCAGAGAGTACTACTACTTGGGTACCCAACTACCGCTTGATCGATTCCTCACATTCTATTACGGTCATCCTGGTTTCCATATCAATAATATTCTGGTCATGTACTCAATTCAGGTCTTTATGGTCACTTGTGAGTACCTACTCTTTCGGTTATCGCCTTTCACTTATATTCGCATTATACATAGTACTTTTTATTGGCACCTTGAACAAGGAGCTCGCTGTTTGTGCCACCGGTTCCTCTGGAGACGTTCTACCGGGAGAGACTGATTGCTATGTTCTCACTCCTGTCTTCAGTTGGATCAAGCGATGCATCATATCCATCTTCCTCGTCTTCTTCATTGCTTTCTTGCCACTATTCTTGCAAGGTAAGATTTGGATTTATTGCACATGCTTGTACCAGCCTGATAACGCCTTGTAGAACTACTGGAAAGAGGGACCGGTAAAGCACTAATCCGACTCGGGAAGCAGTTTTTATCTCTCTCTCCTATCTTCGAAGTCTTCTCGACTCGGATTTATTCACAGTCCATTCTCAGCAATCTGACATTTGGCGGTGCTCGATATATCGCAACTGGACGAGGCTTCGCCACTACACGTATTTCCTTCACTATTCTCTACTCTCGCTTCTCCGGACCGAGCATCTACATGGGCATGCGCAACGTTCTCCTTCTTCTCTACGCAACTATGGCTGTCTGGACGCCGTTTCTCATTTATTTCTGGTTCTCAGTGCTGTCAATCTGTATCGCGCCTTTTGTGTTCAACCCGCACCAGTTCTCCTTCTCAGACTTCATCATCGATTACCGCGAATTTTTGCGCTGGATGTCCCGTGGAAACTCTAGACATAAAGCAAGTAGCTGGCATGGTTATTGCCGTCTCTCCCGCACTATGATTACTGGTTACAAGAAGAAGAAGCTTGGACATCCTTCAGAAAAGCTCTCCGGTGACATGCCCCGTGCCAGGTGGCGGACTGTCCTCCTCTCCGAAATCATATGGCCTATCTGCCTTGCAATCATTTTCATAATTGCATACATGTTCGTCAAGTCGTTCCCCCAGAATGGCAAGCAGAATCCTAGTGCTTTGATCCGAATTCTCGTGATTTCGATCGGTCCAGTCGTGTGGAATGCGGCAATTCTTCTGGTGCTATTCTTTATATCCCTATTCCTGGGTCCCATGATGTCTTCGTGGACTAAATTTGCATCGCTCATTGCCGCGCTTGCGCATCTCCTTGCTTTGGTCGGGCTCGTTGCGTTCTTTGAGTTCTTTGTAAGTTGTCAGTCGCTCGTCTAAGTTGGACGTATGCTTACACGCCTGCAGTGGTTCTTGGAGCTGTGGGATGCTTCTCATGCTGTGCTGGGTGTCATTTCGATCGTAGCTGTCCAGCGCGCCATTCAGAAGATACTGATATCTGTCTTCCTTTCCCGTGAGTACAAGTCCGACGAAACAAATATCGCCTGGTGGTCCGGAAAGTGGTATGGGAGAGGTCTAGGTAACTCGGCGTTCTCCCAGCCTGCCCGCGAGTTCCTCGTGAAAATCGTCGAGATGTCATTGTGGAGCTCAGACTTTTTGATTGCCCATATCCTTCTGATTCTCATGACCCCACCGATCTTCATCCCCTTTGTGGACAGGATACATTCCACAATGATGTGTAAGTCATGTGAATGGATATATTTATACGCCTTCTTACCCATTCTCTGCAGTCTGGGTTCGACCATCTAAGCAGATCCGTCCACCCTTGTTCTCGAACAAGCAGAGGAGACAGCGTCGTTGGATTGTAAGTCATCGTCCCATATGTTGACGGTCTTTTATTGATCCGAGGTTCAGGTGATCAAGTATACGTTCGTCTATATCACTGTTATCGCTTTCCTCGCTGCGATGGTTGTTCTTCGTAAGTGATTCCTCGAGAGATCATCTGTCAGAATAGCTGATGTTCCAATTATTCTCAGCTGTGGTGTTCCGCGATCGCATTACATTAACCTGTACGATATGCCAGAACATCTGACCGCACCACATGGACTGCTTGGAATGTTTGGAATGTGGACTGCTACTCTCGTACATCTACAGGGCTTTCGATATGCATTCACTGTACATTCGTATACTCATCCGGCCTCTGTAATACCATTAGAGCCATGCATTATTCAATACTGGATGATCTGAGTATCGCCCTGCTTACATACCGTTTTTATTTTAGCCGTATAGAGCGACACTGGCATGCGCTTTAGTACCCTAGTGTCACTCTAATAAGCGAACATGCCCATGCCTTCGTGGCGACATTCCATTAATCACACCGAACTTCAGTCCACGGCCGGTCACTGGGTCGGTGCCAGTGTCCAAAAACGCGATCACATGGTCTGTGATTGACGACGCGCTTGCCGCTGGCCACTCGACCGACTTCGAGTTCCGCTCGCTCTCGTTCGTGATGAGTCGACCCATTCATCTATGGAGACCACAAGTTACACTTACTTCGGATGAAGCCTGTACGACTGTTTTGAAATATGCACTCCCATCACTTGCGCCACCCCCGCCCTACCAATCCACGCCAAGCACCCGACGGAAACTCTCATTCATCCCATCACTTGCATACTTTTGTATTCAGAGATTGCTGGAGTATCCAGACCAGATACATACTTTGGGTCCTGTTCGATTGCACTATCAAAAACCATCATCCTCTGAAGCATACGACATCATTCGTGCCTTGATACCTAGCTATCGCCCCAACAGGCCGCTCAATTTATCGCAGGTCGACCCTCGACTCTGGGCGCTGCTAATTCAACTATACCCTGAGCTCCCATCCTCGTTCCGAACATATACGCTCCCTCTTACGGATAACCATCTACCGCTACTCCAGCGTATCCCATCCACGCCAGACTTCGCCCTGTTGACCATTCTTGAACTGCCAAGATGCAGCGAATTAACAGATGACACTGTCATTGAGCTGAAAGATTTGCACGGATTATGTGCATTTGATGCTAGTGGGACCGCGCTCAGTGCCTGGGGAATCAAAAGGCTATCAAAAACACTTTCTTTCGCGACCCCCGATGAGATCCAAGCAGGCCATCGCGCCTCATTGAGGATAGGCCCATGGGGAATACGAATTTTGATTCTCCGTAATTGCATGAACGTCAACAATGAGGTATTTGACCACCTCGTCGAGTTCCCTCTGCTCAGTGTTGTAGGTATGTCCACCACATATGTCCACCACGATAGATGAAGACTGACCAAATGATCTCTGCAGATTTAAGAGGTACCCGCTGTATACGAGGAATTGCTAGCCCCTTCAAACCATGCAGTGAACCTGCATTTTTTCATCCCTCATCGCTGGCTAATGCACTGTCGCACCTGACGTCTGTTGCTACTTCATCTAACCTCTATTCGCACCCCAATCCGTATACCATTCGGATCAAAGACCTCTATTACAAAAGGGGAACACCTATGGCGAGGTATTCTTCTCAACTCGACCCAATTTTAGGTTACCAGCCTATTGCAAGTGGTAGGATGGATGTGTTCTTGCCGTATAAGCCTCCCCAACCTCATCTCCCAGATGCTTGGCCTTGCAGTGCAGATAGTCTGTATGAGAGCCCCCTTCAATGGGATAATACGAGTCCAGATGAGCAATCCACCGGAGAGGAGGAAGGCGAGGAAGGCGAGGAAACCGACCTTAGTAAGTTTGATATCAAGGATGAAGAGGGTGCATCATCATCCCCTTGCGAACAGACATTAGTCGAATTGGTGAATTCAGCTGCTACCATCGAGTCACGCCTCATGGCTACGCATCGATCCACTGTGCGATTCTACGGGAGTTCTGGTGCTCATCGACGGAACAGTTCTCTTCCAGGGCCTCCAGAGATTGACAAGTGTATCAATTCGACATCTGGAAATCCCTTCATGCTATTCCGGCCACCTCCCTCATGGAACTCACTGCCGCAGCCGAATGGGGATCAACGAGCAAGAAAGCGGCTGAAAGGCAATGCAATACTAGAGGGACAAGATCTTGTCGTCGACGTAAGGAAAGATGCACACGTCAAACAGGAGATGAGTGGCATTCGCGACGCGCTAGCGGCGCGTCGCAGGGTGGCTGTGCAAACCTCGAGTACTCACAAATGCAAATGCCCGGAGGGAAGACAATCGATTCAGTCCGCCTCCTCTAATCCATTCCTCCGCAAATTCCGGCAGCCCAGAGCTAAAACTCCATTGAAAAAGGAAATCAAGTCCGCAAATTCTGCTGCAAAAACCACTATTTACACAGATGCGGATACTGCTTCTGGCAAAAAGATGGATGCACTTGCCGGGAGTAAACCCCTCAAACCAATTTCGCGGCTCACGATCCCTCGGCTACCTCCTGCTATCAGTCCAGCCCCGACCTTATCATCCAAGACAAGCGATGGAGTGCAAAGGCGTACACAAACGACTTTGCCGGAATTGGTGCGATCGACGAGTATAGCACCCTCAAACGCGGCTGAACGACAAATAGACAAGATCAATTCCCGCAAAGTTGGGGCTAAACCGAAAGACTCGGGAATGAACGGGGTGAAAGGACAACGGACAAATTTCGACTGGAAGCGTTGGGGAGGGGGATCCAACGATGGCAAAGTTTCCTAGGTGAAAACTCGCCCAAATCGTTCTGAATCCAAACTTCTACGTTTGGCATGGTCGCACTCGGAGATTGTAGTAACGCAACTAGTAACTTATGTAGTACTTATAATCGTATGTTATTGTCACGTGATGATGCTCTTGCTGAGCGGGTCGGGGTGATGATGATGTCGATCCTCTTCCTTCACCACCGAGCATGACATTGACCCGAACATTAACTGCTCTTCCTAAAAAATGCTCGCCAGTCTTGCACCAATCTCGCACAATTTCTTCTATACATCGACACTATCGCTTTCATGTTGGAGCTAGCTGGGCAGGCAAACCTCCGGATCCTAGCAGTCGTCGTCTGAAGACAAAACCATTCCAGCCCGACTCTGAGATCGGTAAATGGAAGACTGAAATGTTATCTAATTTTCATTCCTCCGTAGGGAGTCATGTTGGAGAGGACTTCTTCTATGTCCAAGATGTAAGCTTCTCTTTGCGCTCTACACGTCTATCTTAGCCTGAGACATCGTTGGCGTCAGATGCGTGAACGGTCGGTAGGTTGGAACCTCTGCTCTCAAACATGTCGCTCACGTCGTGCCATGCGGAATTTTGAAGGGTGTATCGTTCGGTGTCGCAGATGGCGTAGGTGGATGGGTCGACTCTGGAGTAGATCCATCGCTATTTTCTCAAGCTCTCATGTTCCATGCCCGTCGATATTCTAAGGCTGCATGGGCCGGTGAACCTGAAATCGACCCCACACAAGACTACGAGGAGCGTGAGCTGGTAGAGGGATGGGAAATTACACCTGCAGAATGCCTTGAATTGGCACATGGCGGTGTCTTACGGGAGCGCGCCGTTCAGGCTGGTGAGGGCTCCTCGACTTGTTCCCCAATACTCACCAAATCGCGTGTGGGGTGTAGGCTCAAGTACCGCTTGTCTCCTTACACTGAACGCATCATCTGGCGTCCTTCGAGCCGCAAAGCAAGTCTTACAATATACACTATCTTCACAGAATCTGACGCTCATCTGCACAGCCTAGGCGATAGCGGTTTCTCCATAATTCGTTCTTCTGCCGTCATATATCAGCAACGCGTTCAGCAACACTTCTTCAACTGCCCAAAGTATGTTCCACCCGTGCGCTCGGTTTGGTCGATGAATTCAGAATTGGTCATCCCCGTTTCAGACAGCTTTCAAAGCTCCCAACATCGGTTCCTCGCTTCTCTCGAGCATGTATCGACTCGCCGAGAGATGCTGAGACATATGAAACGAAACTCCGGGATGGTGATATCATCATTGCTTATGTTTGTTTCCATTTACTTGAGCAATATCAAGCATGGAGTAAATCATCGCTGCTGCTTATAGACAGATGGCCTATCTGACAATGTCTTTCCCTCGGAGATGATACAGATCTGTTCCCTCATAGCACGACAGTCAACCCTCGAATCTGCAGTGACAGACGAGAATCGTGTGCTGCTTGATTCGTCGGAAGGGCGGCAGATTGTTCAAGAGGTAAACTTACCGGGAATTTGACGGTACCATGTTAATATTTTGACTAGCATATCGATGATGTGCTCGTTCAAACTATTGCGGAGCGAACAGTTGATTACGCGCGTCTCTGCATGGGTAATAAGACTCGAGTCAGCCCATTTGAGCGAGCGGCGGCCCGCGAGGGCATGTATTTCCGCGGTGGGGTAAGTCCCGTAATGTCTATCGACTAGTTCATATTGACGTATCCTCAATCGTTCTATCCAGAAAGTAGACGAGTGAGTATTGGTTGTGTGAATTTAGTTATCTTTGCTTTGGTGACTCTCACACTTTTATCAAATAGCGTGACGGTAGTCGTTGCACTTGTGCGAGAAATTTGAGTCACTTATCCCTTAGATTCCGCCTTCGTCCTGCCTTGTAAGTCATTCCCTTGAGTACATGCAGACATCATAAACCTATTTACTCGCCATTTAGGCAGTTGTCCATCATATTTATACAGCACGGCGGCAGTTCACATTCGTACCGTACATTAGAAGTTGGCTCAGTAATGAGGACAGTGCATTGTATCCACGGAACTGCATTTGCATTTTAGTTTACAAGCGGAGTTAATCTGTATCACTGCAGTACTGGTGGTCTGATCCCTGCATGATTATTATATCCCACACATATGCTCATCTGTATCCTCAAGAGCATGACTGCATTAATTGTATGGTGAGTTTTTCGTGTCATGGTTTAGAGCTTCCTCTCAATAAAGCTCTCAATAACCCCTGCCGGTGTAAGTGGGTACTCCTTCAGTACAACCTCACCGTTTTCAATGAAGGTATTGGGCTGCACGAAGATTTTTCGAGGCTGTGGGAGGCAATGTATAGTTAGTGTCATACACCTTCTGAGTTCCATAGCAGTAAGAATTGGATGACAGAAAGTACTCACAAGCTTTTTCTTAAGTACGATGTCTCTAATCTCACCATCCCATCCAAGGAGGGGCGTCGTGAGCTCTGTATAATACGTACGTGCCCCAGGCCCATCGGCGGTACTCTTGCGCACCTGCAACTCAACGAGGAGTTTGCCAACGATCTCTCGTCCCTGTGTTAGGACCTTCTGCTTATCGACCTATAAAGGCAGTGGGCGAATGAGTTACTAATTCATGCTCAAGTCGGCGACAATCATACTCGGATATAGAGATTCTCAAGTGTTCCGTTTGCTCCACGAACCTCCTCCAGGTGAGCGATTCCCGACTTGATTAGGAACTGAGTGATACCAAGCCTACAGATCTACGTCAGATGGACTACATAGAAATTGCATAGAGCGGCGCACCGAGCTTGCATGTGCGCTTGACCATGTTTCTTTGTCGCCGGATCGTAGAACTCGAGCGCTCGCAATCCAGCCCGTGCCATCAACAAGAACGTGATGTATTGGACATCTTCGATGTCCTTTTGGTCAACATACTAGAGATAAACGGTATCAAAGGACACCGTTCGTTCAAGAGAGAAATGCATACTCACGTTGAAAATCTTGAGGATATCCAGGTTGCTGACGACTATGCATCATATCCTGTGAGCGTAACGAGAAGATATCAACAACAACTTGGAATACGGACGATACAATGCAACAGTCTCCGCGCGGCATTCCTCCATTGATGACGACACTTCTCCAAGAACAGATCCCGAAGTTTGGCCCGGTTTGTACCAGGAGGTGCTGCAGGCGCATCAGGCCATCAATATCAATTACATATCAATCCGACGCACATTTTCTTCCCAGTAAGCGGATTGATGATCTGCAAAGATCGGGAATCAATCTCCAGCCATTGCACACGAATCGCTGAGACGAACTTTGTCGGGATCAAAGTTCTTCGTCCCATCCGCATTCTCCTGGAAGAGCTTGCCGCTTCCGTGGCCCAGCAATTCGTGATTGGCGACTTGAAGCTCGAATGCACGCGAGTCCCATGCGTTGTAAACCTCAACGTCATCCGGATGTACAAAAGTGAGTTCTTCGTCTGTGGGCGAGCATAACCTTTAGTGCAGTACGTCTCGTACAAGCGCGGAGCCGCATACTGGGAGCTTTCGCCGCGAGGATGTTCTAAGTGCCAAAGTTGCGTGAGTCCCGTGCTATGTACAGAGAATGAGAGAATGACTGACCGCTAGAGAGACGTTCTTAAATCCCACGGACTCACGAATCTCATAGTAATTCTACGAGACCACGTCTAAGCAGATGTGGCGCAGCACTATAAGAGTAGACCTACAGGGATCTGCTATTGCGTCAGCTGCATAATGGATATAGACTATCGATTCAACGTACATTAATCCCAACGGGGATCCCTGGTCAAGGCGCTCAGCGGTCTCAGTGCCGCAGCATGCATGTGAACATACCTCCAGTAGTGAATGTGACGATTTCCAGGGCCGTGAAGTCCGGTTTTCTGAATTCGTCAACTTCAAAGTCTTTACCCCAGGGCAAAACCTTGAGCAACTCTGGTGCTTGCGCCACAAGTTTATCATATTTAGCGCTGAGTGTCTTGTTGACAATTGCAGTGAATCCTAGCAAGGATGTGATATCAGCCTTCAGGTACTTTGACCAAAAAAATGCACGAACCTTCCCATTCTGCTCGACCACCGTAAGGATCTACGTAGGTCTCGATGAACCCGATATAATTCTCAACGACCGGGCCAACGTCCTTGACCCACTCAGTGGATCCACTTTTATGCGCAGGAATAGACCCAGTCTCGAACCTATTAGTTAAAATTGTCGCTCAGCAGAAGCCTGAGGGAATTGTGCACACGCACGATTCAATATATTTGTCTATCATCGCGGCCTGGTGATCATTGGCGGTATACTTCCTTGCCTGTGTAGCATTTACAGTCAGATGTCAGGGTAGAGGCGGGTACCAATAGTTTACCTCTTTTAATGCATCCGCCGCCCTCTGCATAGGGACTGCGAAGTCACCATACTCAACTGTAAGGGTAGCGTTCTTATCCGCCAACTTCAATTCATGCAATGCTTTCTCCTGTTGTTTGGCGGACGCAACCAGGAGCGCAAAGGCATCGGGACCGTCCTTTCTGACGCTAAATTATGTTTCCTTTGTAAGTCAACAGTGCAGTTAAGCAGCTGTAGGTACGCATACCGAGTGTTCAAAATGTCGACATCAATCTTCTCAGCGACAGTTTGGACTGCGGCAACTTCAGAGTCAAGAATCGGCTCGCCGAGATAGTAATTCGAGACGTGGCCAAGAGAGCGCTTCCCAATGAAGTTGCTCGACTCGGGGATAACTTGATAGATATGTTCCTTTAGCTGCAACAACAAAATGAGAGAGCTTCATCACGATTGCAAGTGCCAGGAACTCACATCATCCCACAAAGGGATAGCTTCAGAAGCGTTAGCAGAATTCTTCACCACTGCGGCAAACTTCTCTTGTGGGATTCGGGGGATTATCTTCGTAAAGCCAAATGATTTATAGTTTACTAGGTTGCTTAGGACCTAAGATCAAACGTGTTTGCATGAGACAAGGACAGATACGACTGAGTTATCGAAACATGTAGATACCTGGCTTGCGTATTGCATTAGATCATCCCAGTCACCCGAGGTCACCGCTGATCTTTGTTTCAAGCCCTCGAGATCTGCAAGCTTTCCTCTATCACTGAGGGTGAGGACCAACAAGTCGTACAGCTTCTCCGCTTGAGGCGTCCATTGGCCCTGGATGATGCGCGCACCAGCCCACGAAGCCTGACCGATGTAGTGAGCGTACTTTTTCTCCTTCGAACTGGAAAAATCTGGTCGATGTGCAATCTCCAGTAAATGCAGTCGAGAGCGCTCACGTCAGCTGAGCAAATGACTTTGCTACGTCGAGGCCGCATAGCGGCGCGCTGCGGTCGGCGAGGAAACGTTCAGCAGCGAGATTAGCCATGGTTCTCTGGCGTTGCGAATGGGGCCAGATAAAAGGATGAACGAAGGGACGAGAGGAGATGGAACGCAGATGGCAAGCTACTGGGCAGAAAGCTCTCATCTGCTCGACCGTGGTCAGATGAGCGATTGTATCGAGTCGGTCATCGAGGCAATCACCGGCTATATGCAGTTTCACGCTGTGCGGACCTCGGTTATACAACTCGAATCACGCTTTGCGGACTATAAGTAAAATACCTATTCTTCTCGACTAGGAGATCAAGCACATCTATGTGTATGATTCACACATACGGGCATGGCCGATGTCACCTACGAGTTAACTCCCCACTTTTCGAACAGCGTCCCGCGCGCGGACATAGTTAGTCCACAACGTCTTCCACTCTGTCTCTAATGTCCCTTCTCCAGCCCTGCCAATCCCTCCAGCACGGTCACCAGCAACTCCCGCCCACCCGAGTGCACGTTCATAGCAGTCGAGCGCCTTCTCCGCCGACCCCTGCGCGCCAGAACCTTCGACCAGAATCCCCATCAAGTTCCACGCCTCGGCCGCGCTGCGTCGGGCGTCGCGAAGGAGACTCCGAGCCGGGTGTCTCATCGAATATGACTTGTCATACTCCGACAGCAGTGGCGTCTCGGACGATGGCGGGTGGGGAATCTGAGATTGGGGTGCGTCGGGATGAATGAGAGGGAGCCCGGTAAGGACCAGGGCAACCCGTTCAGAGGTCTCGGCCGCTCGCGTCAGCCATTGGATAGATGAGGCAGGCTGTTCCTTCAGTGCATGCGTTACCTCGGCCAGGTGTATCGACAGAAGTGATGATCGGTGAAGAACATAGAGCGCGTGCAAGGCTTGCGGAGCTGTCGCGGACTCCAACGAGTCTGGCTGCTTGATAGTCCGGAGCAAATCCAGCGAAGACTCCTCGATCGCCCGCGCCTGTGACAGCTGTCCTGAAGTCGCATAATGAGCTGAAAGGGACACTAAAGTCGACACTAAAGTGCGTTGGGCCAGAGGAGACGATGGTACAGATTCCGGGACTGTAGGGGGAACACTCGCCAGAGCACCATTGCTGCCCTCTCGAGTCAATTGGATAGCACGAGCCCACCAGGCTAGGGCCTCGTCGGAATCATTGAGTCGCCGATTGAGGTCTCCAAGTTTCAGTGCAATGCGTGCAGCATCGGTTCCTCTCCCAGGAAGCCCGGCCCAAACACGCTCATATTCCGAGCGCGCCTCAAACAACGCGTCGCTCGTGCCCATTCGCTCCATTACGTTCGCGTGACGAGCAATGAGCTCAGCGATAGCTTCGGGTCGCACTCGCCCTGAGTTTGCGTTCTTCAATGCCGAATTGATAGCGATGTTAAGAAAATCTTGGGCGAACTCCAAACGAACCTCGACCGCATTCAAGCCGCCTTCTGAACGCGAACGACCACTGTAAGCCTTAGACCCAATGACCCTTGTCCCAGAGCCCGCGCCCCAGTGTTGTGCAATCCATGCGCTGCGAGCGGCGAGACGTCCCTTGAATCCTAGGCCAGGGTCTGTGCCTCCTGCAGGCCCGCCCGACCACCGTTCGGCCTCGAGGTTCCACTCCCATTTGCGTACCTCATCGTCGAGCTCAGGGGCCAATTCCACCTGTTCTACCCACATATGAGTGCCGAGTAGTGCTGTCCATGTTGTCGCTCCGACAGCAAGGAGACCGATGGCAGAAAACTTGAGAAATCGGCGGAAGAAGTTTACGGTGAAGACGGTATGTCTAGAATAATTATCCTCCACGAGAACCGAAGGCGGGTCTGTTGTGTCATTCCGCCACGGCGTAGGTTTATTGGTAGATTGGTACCGACATGGTAGAAGACGTGACCGAAAGTGTGGTGGATTATAGAACCGGAGAAAAGCTCTGTGTGATGGTTTCGCAAGCATAGAGCTAATGCGTGATGCACACGAGCTGTGACCGAACGCGCCTGTGCTTAGTGTCACGCGTCATTACGCCACTGAGCTCGTCACGGCTTCGCCGCGTTGTGGCTGAAGCCCTCCTGCTCGCGACCGCGACGTTGTCCAACGTCCGGCAACGAATCCCATTCGACCTATACGCTTGGTGGTGCCTCTCTTGATGTTATCTCCTGTGAAAACAATCTAGTCTACGTTTTGACCGCTCGTTGCTGTCCGCCGCCAACATGAAATTCTACATCGACGACCTACCCGTATGCGTTCTGTGTTGTGCCAGCGCGCTCGTGTCTAATGGTGTATTCAGATAATCTTTCCTTACGACCGGATATACCCAGGTATGCGCACTTGTGCTTCGCGTGCCAAACATAGCCACATTGAGAGTAGAACAATATGCATATATGTGCGATCTCAAGCGCACCCTTGACGCCACAGTGAGTATATCAGACCCCTAGCCTCCTGAATTGACAAACACATCGTGCTGCAGGGTCACTGTGTTCTGGAGATGCCGTCAGGCACCGGAAAGACGGTTTCGCTTCTGTCACTCATCGTTTCATATCAGCAGGTCAGTGTCAAGGCCGAATTATCCGGCACTGTCTGATTCGCTTCAAGTTCTATCCTGCGAAGCGCAAGCTCATATATTGCTCGCGTACGGTTCCAGAAATCGAGAAGGCTCTTGAAGAGCTCAAGAGATTAATGGTGTATCGCTTGTCTAGCGCAGAGACGGAGGAAGAAAAAGAAAAAGAACGAAGCTTCTACGGCCTTGGGCTGACAAGTCGTAAAAACTTGTGCATTCATCCGGAGGTGAGTTGCTATCTTGGTACATCAATTAAGGCACGCTGTCTTGGGCCATCAGGCGGAACTGCCACCTCCAGCCTTGTTCTTCTAATCATCGCAGTTAGAGAGGCTTCTAAAAGACACATCTCAATCGACTTTCTGTTAGGTGTCCAAGGAAAAGAAAGGGAAAGTGGTTGATGCACGATGTCGTGACCTCACAAATTCAGCTGTGTGCGAGAAGGGTCGTCAAAACCCCGGATCTGTAGACTTATGTGACTGGCATGAGGTCAGTATACGCACCACGTGCTAGGACGTATTGAAGACCAAAACCGATGTTCTATTGCAGAATTTAGGGAAGTTGGATCCCGGTAGCCTGATCCCCCCAGGTATCTGGACGTTAGCCGATGTGTTGCAATATGGGCGTGATAATACCATATGCCCCTATTTCTTGGTTCGCAGAATGGTATGTCCCTTACTCCGTCAGACAACTGTCTAGTTAGGTTAAATCCCGACGAAGATGCCATTCGTAGACATCATAATTTATTCATTTCACTACCTTCTCGATCCAAAAGTTGCGGAGCAAGTCTCCAAAGAGATGTCGAAAGACGCCATAGTGGTGTTCGACGAAGCCCACAATATTGGTACGTGAACAAGCCGAGCAGACGTTCAGATGGTTTGTATTTGACACCGCGACTGTAGACAACGTTTGTATTGAGTCGCTCAGTATCGACTTGTCAAGACCCATGCTTGAATCCGCTGCGAGGAGTGTAGGCAAATTGGGGGACAGAATCGAAGAGTAAGGCCGCTACTGCACCCCAATTCTTCCGTTTACCACTATTCTGTCAGAATCAAGAAGACGGACGCTTCTAAGCTCCAAGATGAATATGCTAAACTCGTAGAAGGTCTCCAAGAAGCCGCTAACGATGAAGACGCGTTTATGTCAAATCCAGGTTAGTCCTGCTGCAGCTGAGGTGGCGTTTGGATCTGACAGCGTGTTTTACACGCGGTCCAGTATTACCTGAGGACTTGCTAAAGGAAGCCATCCCTGGGAATATACGCAAGGCGGAGCACTTTGTGGCCTTTCTGAAGCGCTTCGTCGAATACCTAAAGGTGCACTGCTTCTGCCGCCCATGCTCTAGATCTAATGACATATGATGGTCATAGACCCGGATGCGGGTGCTGCATGTTGTTGCGGAAACGCCGCTGTCATTTCTGCAGCATCTGAAAGATATTACGTATATCGAACGAAGACCCTTACGGTACGTTGGAAGTGTGTCAGCTGAAGATGAGCTGATCGATGTCGGGGGGGCAGTTTTTGTGCCGAGCGCCTGCAGTCGCTGGTTCGCACACTTGACTTGAGCAGACTGGACGAGTATGCATCGCTGCAGAAAGTTGCAAGCTTCGCGACCCTGGTCGCAACATACGAAAAAGGTGCCATCCACGTTGGTGAGGAAGCCGTTTGCCGAGAAGCTTATCGATTTGTCGGCAGGGTTTCTTCTGATCCTGGAACCTTTCGAGACTGACAACGCGACTGTTCCCAACCCGATATTCCACCTGACGTAGGTGCTCAACCGCCACTCGTAAGGCTGATGACCTCTCATCATTGTATTTCAGATGCCTGGACCCCGCGATAGCAATCAAACCGGTCTTTGAGCGATTCAGCACGGTTGTCATTACCTCTGGGACCATCTCGCCATTAGATATGTACCCGAAAATGCTGCAATTTACGCCTGTTGTCCAGGAAACATATGCTATGACCCTGACTCGCAATTCATTTTTGCCTCTGGTACGTCGCGTCGGACGGGCTTACGTTAACTGTGTTCACGTCAGGGCTAGGTCATTACGCGTGGCAGTGACCAGGTCGCGATCAGCTCTCGTTTCGAAGTGCGGAACGACCCTGCTGTTGTTCGCAACTTCGGGAGTATTCTTATTGAATACAGCAAGATTGTGCCGGACGGCATAGTGGCGTTCTTCCCAAGTTATCTATACATGGAGTCCATTGTGGCTGCGTGGAACGACATGGTCAGGCGGCCGTTATACTGCCGGTGCGTAGCTGACGATGAGCCGGCTGCAATCACAGGGCATCTTGAACGAAGTGTGGAAGCACAAGCTGATATTCGTGGAAACGCCCGATGCTAACGAGACAAGCATCGCGCTGGAGAACTACCGCAGGGTGCGCATGCTGACCACCTGCGGTTCCTGTGCCTGCGGACTGACTGTACACGGGGAGAATGTCTAGGCGTGCGACAATGGGCGGGGAGCGGTTCTGCTCTCTGTCGCGCGCGGTAAAGTGTCCGAGGGAATCGATTTTGACCACAATTACGGCAGGGCTGTCATCATGTTCGGGTATGTCCATACACTCAAAGTCAATAAGGAGGCTCGGGCTGACGCGTGGGTTCCGAAGTGTTCCGTACCAGTATACGGAGAGTCGGATTCTCAAGGCGCGGCTGGAGTACTTGAGGGACGCGTATCGCATCCGAGAATCGGAGTTTCTTGGGTTCGATGCGATGCGGAACGCAGCGCAGTGTGTGGGCCGTGTGCTGCGCGGGAAAACGGACTGGGGCCTGATGGTTTTTGCGGATAAGGTATCTGCTGACGTTGAATCCAATCTCTCGGGTGCATGGGACTGACGAGGTGGTGCAGCGGTTCGCACGTGCGGATAAGCGTGCCAAGTTGCCGCGGTGGATCAACCAATACATCACAGAGACGGCCTCCAACCTGTCCACGGATATGGCACTAACCTTGTCTAAGCTTTTCATGCGGACCATCTCACAGAATCCGAACGAGAACCAGACGGGCGTCTCGCTGTGGACGCTCGAGGACGTGGAGAAGGCGCAGGCGCGGCAGCGGGAGCTGGCGTTGCAGGCGGCGGCGGCGGTGCAGGGACAGGCCGAGGGGATGGACGAGGACGAGGAGTACGGAGACGGGGGGCTGGACGACGCGGTGCTGGGAGAGATGGATCTCGACGTATGAATTGGAAATGGGGGATATGTGTACACGGATGAGGCAATTGTAATATATAGGCATACACAAACGGCTAGCGGTATGGATTGAGACAGCGGTCACACTTTCCCGGGACCTGGAGAGGGGGTGAGGAGAGTAGCGGGGGAGGGGGAGGGGAGGAGGACAGGGGACGTACCTCGTGGGTGGTGATGCGCTCTGGCTGGCTGTGGAAGGAGTGAGTGGGGAAACGAGGAGAGGGAAGAGAGGAGCGACGGACGTGTAGTAGCGGCGGCAGTGGCAGACGGCGGGAGCACTGCAGTTGGGGGGATGAGTGGCACTGATGAAGCAGTCGGGCTGGTTGCAGTCGAGGTAGGTGTCGCCGGTGAAGGTCAAGTGGCCGCATTGGGCGGACTTGAAGAATCTGAGCTGGCGGTGGCACATCTGCGAGCAAATCGTCAGTCGCGCGGATCTTGGAACCGAGGCGGGAAGCTGACCGTGGGCGCTCGCTCGTCGGCGGAGGTAAGGCTGCGAGCGATTCGAGGGCGTCGGGTGCGGCGTCGATCGAACGCTGTGCTCCTTCGATCTCGTCCCACGGCGACGGCGACGGCGACGGCGACGGAGGCAGAGTCGGAGGTGGGCGTCGGCGTCGGCGTCGGCGTCGGGGCGGCAGTGGCAGCG